ATAGAGAGTGCGGCCTGCCCGGGGGGTGTCAGCCAGGCGTTGCCCGCGCGCCCGCTGCCCGCCAGCTGGCGCCGCGCGACGCACGCCACGCCGTGCGACAGCGACCCCCCGTCTACTACTAGTGTTGTGGAATCTATCACTTCAGTGTATATTACGAGCCGACCGAGAGATATCGAGGTTAAATTCTGGAAGTAAATTATCATATATAAAATTTTCTATTAAATTTTAACAGATTATTAAAAGTAATTTATCGATATCTGTTTACTTACATCAAAATATTCGACAGTTGAAAAGTTATCAGGACATTCATAGAGACATACGGGCAAGAATTCTGCAGACGGAGACTCTAAAGGCATTTCTCCTCTCATGCACCATTGTATTGTTAATTTATCTAATTTATGTATACGTCTGCCTTCATCATCAGGGGAACACCATTTATCCACTAACGATATCTTATCCTATATAAAAACGGACAATTTATTTTTAAATCTTTATAAGTAAATCCAATACATTTCGACGGGAGACTTCTATCATTAAAAAATGTGATTTAGAATAATAAAGTGCCAAATTGAAAAAAAGAAGAAATTATATTTAATATATGGTATTATAACATTTTTGTAACTTTTTAATATTAATTTCAGATACAAAATTTAAAAGCCAATAAAATTAAAGTAAAAAGTGTAATTGTAAATAATTTCGTGAACAATAAAAAGACTTTGCAATATTTTTCAAATAGCTTTTTAATTGTTAATTAATATTATAAAATTTGCGATAGAAGTCTCCAAAACATCGAAAACATGCAACACTGACTGACGTAAATTCACCGGAAATATTTGCATAAGAAATAGTAGCTTGTGCTCTTTGCCTAAATTTATTTTTTCTAAGCAGCTTTTAGCGTTAAATACAGCAATATCTAATATTATATTTTAATTTCCGTTATGAACTTTAATTTATTTCTAAAGATATAATTCTTAGTAATTGTTAAATTTAATATAAGAGAAGCATATGGATGCTTAGCTATAAATATTCTAGCACAGAAAAAGTCAGTTGTTCGAAATTTGAGTTGCTCGAAAAAAAAAATCTAACTGTAATTTTTTTTTAATGTATTCAATATTCTCGAATAGCTTAATATATAATTTGTTTAAATTAGCAAAGTTGACTAGCAAATTATTTACCACACAGCTTTACTATTATAATTTTAATTTAATTTGTTACTTTAACTTTGTTATCGGCAATTGGATAGCAAAATATAAAAGACTATAAACAGCCTGTAAAATACAAAAGCGTAGTTCACTAGATATAAGGATTTAGCCCCATGCTATATAAGCACGATTAAATTTAACGCATAAAAGGTAAAATGTAGGAGATTTCAAGAAGTAATATTCTTCTTTGTTATGTCTCGATATTATTGACGCAAAAAATAATATCTTATTTTTTAATAATACGCAAATAAAATAGTCAATATATTGTATATATCACGATTTAAAACATTCAACGGCATCCATTGTCTCGAAATTTTTCCTAAAAAAATAAAAAGGCCGTGCAATGGGTCTATGTCCTACGTCAAAGGGCGGCCATATTGAGCCGCCATCTTGGTTTGTTGGTCTATTTTTCACCGATTTCATTCTATTTAATGCCATAAGCAAAGGATAGTTTTTCATATTACTTCTTGAAATGTCCGTAAGTAAGGCAAGGTCGTGCAAAGGTCGGCGGGCCTCACCGGTCAGACCGTCACGTGACCGCCGCGCCCCGCCCACGCGCCCTAGCGGACAACACGCGCATATCAACACTTTGTTGTTGTCTCTCTCTCTCTCTCTTGTATTGTTACTGTGTGCCTCTCTCTCTAATACTATTCAACTATGTGTGTTCTGTTATGTCGAAGTTTTTATATGTTTAAAATTACAAAAAAAGCAAATTATTTCTTTGTTTTTTTACTGATTTATTTTCAAAATATAATTTAAGATTTCAAAAGGTTGCCATTGTAAAAAAAACCATCAAATCGGTCTTGCAGTATTATAATTATATTTTGACGTTTACATTTTATTACGTATCTGTACTGTTCTAATATTTGTTAGATTAAAAAAAAAAATAAAAAAATTGTTCACAGAACACACAAAGTTGGTAAAAATATTGTAATTTTAGAAAATATTGTTTTGTGTAGATTATCGTATGATGGTGTTTCTATGAAGCATGTATATACTTGGACATGACACTTTGGTTATATATTGTGTTATATAATTATGTATTATATATATCTAATTTACATATAATCAATGCAATTCAATCACATAACAACTGCACTATTATATATTATGAGAATATATTTTTAAAAATGAAAAAAGACGTTTATTTTTCATTTATACAGCTCTCCTGTATTTTGTATTATAACTAAAAATAAATTTAGATAAAATAAAAAAAAAACTAAAAAAAATATTTTTTCATATTTAATTATCACGATTTTTTTAAGTATGTAATATAGATATAAAAAATTATGAATTTTTTAAAATTGAATCATAAAAAAATAGGGTTAAATTAAAAAATAAACGTCTCAATGATGTAGCTAATGAAAAAATGTGGATGCGTTACAAAATAACGATACGATATTTATAAATTTTGAACTTACCACATGATTGCCTAAAAAGTATCCCATAGTGTAATCAACTTGACGTATTTCCTTGGGATCCCTCACATGGAGTCCTAAAATGTCCCCCAAGATCTTGTGAATGATGCCCAAACGAGCATCATTGCTTTTAAAACCTTCATCACCTAAATAATCATTTGGATCCGCTTCGAGATGTATCTGAAAAATTTTTTTTTTGGTTTTGTCGAAAAAAGGTTGACGATCCCTGACTTTTAAACTGTTAGTCTAATTGATGTTTTATATGATTATAAATCTTACTTACTAGTTAATACCTAAATTATTAATGCTCTAAATTATAATAATAAATGAATAATATAATAATAATAATAAATGTCAAATTAATTTGGATTTATAATTTACTTTTGCTACGTGTAGCGTAAGTCATGGGTTGTAAACCTTTTGGATTTTTATTTTTATATAATATATGAATAACTATTATTATTTCAAAATTTATTAGTATTTCATCGATTAAAACGTATAAAAATTAAATTATTCAAACTTTCGTGAGACATTATACTAAACTGTTGACGCTCAGTGAGCTGAGAGCCGCGGCCGCGAAATACCAGTACCACTCATCCTGCTGAAGGGCCCCTGATGGGCTCGAAACTAGTCGGTGCCGCCACCGGACGAATATACGTAAGTGTTTAGCCGTGTGTATATATCAGTTTACGTATAAAAATGTCGTATTATCATCCAAATCATTGCTCAAAGATCAAACACAATCAGATCAGATATTGTAAAATTATATTGACGTGCCGGATTTGTGAATGGAATTACAAAATATACAAACCTGTGAGAATATCGCGACTCCATTGTTGACGAGATCAGTCGCCTGCAGCAGCGAGGGAGTGCGCCAAGTCTCCTCTGACGCCAGGATTTGGATGTCCAGCTCGTGTCCCGGATGACCAGTATATTTGGACGGTCTAAGATATTACAACTAATATACCATTCTTGTGATCAAAGATTATTTATTTTATTTATGAAATTCTATAGTGTTTATTCGAATTATTTCATGCATTTTTTAAATTATTTTTTAAAAATGAAATTTTAGATTTAAAAATATATAAAACATTTTTTGTCACCTAAAAGTGATTTTTTTTAATAATTTTATAAGCAATTTTTTTTAATTCAACTTATTAACTTTTTTTTAATCTAAAATCTAAAGCTTTTATTATTATTATAAATCTACGATTATTTTTTTACACTAAAAATTGACTAATGGATTGAAATATTTATAACATGCAGATAAAATTAAATTTTAAATGGTGATAAATCGTGTTCCAGTCATAATAGTTAACTTTAATATTATCTTTAGCAAATTATATCATTAATAAATACAGCAAAAAAGCGAATTTTTTTTTTCGCCAAAATATAATTTAAAAAAAATATGATAAATGCATATGTTTTGAATACGTCATACCGGCTGAAATTGCCTTCTTGACTTGTTCTGGAAAATTATATTAAAAATGTTTTTATAAAAAATATAATCAGTTTTAAAACCAAACACATCTAAATAGGTTTAAAATATTCATCATCAGCTCACTATATCTCCCCACCGAGGAGCTAGGAGCCTACCCTAAGTTGAGGGTGATTAGGCCATAGTCCACCATGCTGTCCAAGTGCGGGTTGACTTCACACATATCTTTGAATTTCTTCTCATATATTATTAAAAAAAATCATTTTAAAGATTTTGCTTTAAAATGTTATTTATTAAAACATATTATATTACTAATATATTAAAAATGTGAATGTTTGGATGTATGGATGGATGTTTATTACTACTTATATCCAGAACCGCTGTATAGCTTTGGCTAAAACTTGTAATAGATATAGAATATAGTCTGGAAGAGCACATAGACTAATAATTAAGTTTTTTTTTAATTCGGTGACAGTATGAATGTATAAAAACTTACTGTCTGTCACTTTCAGTGGAGAACTGTTTCTTGGCGGGCGAGGCCTGGTAGCAGAAAATATGATGCTTCATTTTGACAGACTTCCATTTGTCGTAACTGAATTGGACTATTTCACTTTCCCTAACCTGAAATAACAACAATAATCACGCTTTAGTACTTCTGTACAGTCGAACGTGGATAAACGAGAAACATTTCGGGGTCCTTAAACTCTTATTCAAGTCTGACTGTACCATTTTTTTTATTCGTCATAAAACGTCTTACAACGTGTCTGTATTTCTTACTGTCGGGTCTCAAGGTCAGCAATGACAATATCAACTCAGTACTGGCCATAAAAAAGTGGTGTACTGTACGACGAACTATCAGAACACCCTTTATATTACACGTCAGGTGACACCCTCTAGTTACACACTTATATCACCCTTTATATTGTACGCGTCATGCAACGTCCCTCAGTGACTCAACTCCTATATTAACTAGCCCGAGTACCATATATAGCACTTTAGTGTCATCCTGTGTATATAAGTCTCTGCCTCTATAAATGGACTGGCTAAAAGACGTAGTATTTTGTGCCTATTTGATTCCGCCATTTTGGCGCACCACGTTGGAAGTGATAGTACGGATTCGAACAGAACTTCGAAAATTTGTGACAAACACCATTGACAAAATTTGTACTTATAATTCTTTAACTTGTAAATTCGTGTACACATCAGCTTTAAAGTACATCAAAAATCATATAAATTTTGTCATAATTGTAGATAAAGATACGAAATCACAAATATTGGTAAGCCCACAGTGATGGTACATACCTCAGCAGTCTTGTAATACGGCAGTACAGTATGCAGTAGGTCTGAGCAGAGTGCCAGCAGACGTCCGCCGTCCAGCAGGTGTGCCAGCAGTAGCGGCGCGGCGCGCCCTGCGCACCCCGCCACCGCCACCAGCGCAGCACGCCCGCGCCATGCACCCTGCTCTAAACCCTCGCGAGACACACCGTATATCGTATACCTACAAATATTAAGATATTTCTCTAAAATATGAATTTAAAAAAAATAGTAGCCTATGTGTTCTTTCAGACTATGTTCTATATGTATGTCAAACTTCATCGAGACCAGTTCAGCTGTCTTGGAGATACCTTCAAACAAACAAACAAACAAACCATCCATCTAAACATTCGCATTTATATTATAATATTATTAGGAAATAGGATAGGTTAGGTTATTTTTTAGCATAACCTCTATAACATGTTATTATAAAAAAAATATTGAATATATACATATTAATAAAATTCAGGTGTCTGTGTGTAATACCGAAAAAAAATCATATTTCGTACACATATATTTGGGTAGCTGATAATGAAAAACAATTTTTGTCCATATGCCTGTCTGTAAGGTGGCATTTATTCCAGGTATGATGGATGGACTAATTTTGTCGAGATATGAACCGGAAGCCAGCCATATTATAGGCTGACAAAGTCGCGGGCAACAGCTAGTTTATATAATATATATGTATTATGTAAATGAAAACCAAGTTAATTAATCTATTATAAATATAACTCAAAAACGGCTGAACTGAATTGGCTGAATATTGATGGGACGGTAGCTTAGAACTAACAGACAGGCAGACAAGACTCTTTTTTGATAAATTTTTAAGATATTTTCAACAATGTTAGTTTAGACATTGTAATAATAATTTGACTAACCTGTCACAATCCAATACTTTTCTAAGCGAGGCTTCCAAATTATCTCTAGCAGCTAAACTATCTGAATATATCAAAACATTTGGTGACTTAGTATTTATTAGTGGACGGGAACTTTTCAATGACTTTGGTATGCTATTTGGTTTAGTTACTTCTTCCTTCACAGGTATTTCCACTTGCAATTGACTTTTCCTTGGCCCAGTTGTACTGACAATACGTTTATGTGTTGTTATAGATTTTATTTGACTGGATATATTTAGTAAGGAAGTTGATAATTGACTTGTGCCTTTCTTCAAATCTAATTTTAAACTTGATTTTTTCGGTGTTATATTATGTTGAATTTCTACCGTTACATTTTCCACCAGTACCTCTTTATCATCATCTATCATTTTCTTTTCCGGTGATTTTTCTATATTTTTCTCATCAAATTCCTCTGATTTATCAAGTTCATCTTCAGCGGACAATGACCTAGTTGTTATAGTGCTTACATCAGCTAATGTAACAGTTTTCTTTGGTGCATCCAATTGGTCACTACCTCCGTTCATTTCAAATGTATTTCGGACATCAGATTTGATATCAACAACTTTGGATAATTTCTTCAGTAATGCAGCATGGATAGACCATTGGAATAACTCCGGTGTTTGTTTTAACCCATGATGTATGTCAGTTCGCAATCCCCTCATTGATGGATCGGTTGCTTTGTTCGGTTCACCTGATAATTGGATTGCTGTAAAGGTGGTATTAATTTTAATATAAATAACAATTTTGTTTACAAACACAGCTAGTTTACTTTAATTAAACCATTGGTCTTAAAGTTATCTTTTAAAGTATTGAAATGCAATTTTATAAGATGATTGAAAATATAGTAAGTATAATTTAAGACAAAACTATTTTAATAACTTACTTTGTATCCTAACAACAGGTAGTTTGTGGTCTATTATAAATTCCCCGCCTACAAAATGAAAGCCGACCATACTGAGATGTTCCATGTTGGTTTTCAACACAATAGCTAGATGTGAACCTGCCTTCCATGCCACTGGCTGACCCAAAGACTCTAACTGAAATTATAATTATTAAAAAAAAATACATTTCTACATATGTGATAAAGACTTACGTCTCTTATGAAATAGGGTTAAATTTAAGGAAAAATAAAAAGAATTACTTTTAGGATTATCAAGGTTTTTCGCCTATCCAGGTTTGACTGTATTTAGCCTTTTTTTTAAATAATAATGATATAATCTCTACAAAATAATTTAAAATTGGATGAAAGTCTTAGCAAATAAAGGAAACCATAGAATGTTCAAATTACATAAATCAATCAGATTCTGCAGTTTAATAAAATTCAATTAGGAACTGATATAATAGTATGCAATGACATAAATAAGTAAAATAAGGTAAGCAAGGTTGGATGGATATTTGTTTGAAGGTGTCTCCAGAATGGCTGAACTGATCTAGATGAAATTTGGTATACATTTAGAACATAGTCTGGAAGAACACATAGGCTACTAAATATGTTCTATTTTTTTCCTCTCAGACAGGGTTGTGGATGACAACTAGTGAGTAATAGATTCTAGGGAGAAAAAAAGGGTAAATAACCAGCATATACTAGATTTTCTAATATCTTAAAAAAAGTACCATGCTTCCTAACAAATTTAAAAAAAAAGTATGGAGAATGTTATAGTCTGAACAAAGTAGATGAAGAGCAGGAATTTTTTTCAATAAGAATTCTCTTGTTTCCTATGGATCACTTAACACCAGTTGACTTATTTATTTTCTGTCTTTTTATAAAAACAAAAATCTTACAGAGATTATGTCATGGTGTGAACTTCCTTCATGTGGCTCCATCTCACATTCAAACAGCACTTCAACATCCAAGTCTGTTACGGGTGATATATCACTAGACCCTAAAGGCAGGCCTCCAGCACATGTAACCCAGTCACCAACATCTATACACTGAGTTGGTTTCATACTACATATCCTTGAAGCATTTGTATAATCCAATAAATCACAGAGATATGCATTTTTAGGATTTGTACACAATTTAGAACTTAATGTTGGTGTTTCTGTAAATATTGTACAATTATTGAGTTCAAAAATTAGGTATAGGCTTCATCAGTGGCGCAATTGAAGTGAGACTAGTTAAAGCAAATTGATGAGTATCAAAATATTTGTTACATAAAGGTTTAGAATTACAAATCTCGTCATATTAGGTTATGGTAAATTTTTTGATATAAGTATTATGTAATTAAACAGAGTGCGGAAACTTACAATAGTACTTCAATGCAAGTATTATGTACTTGCACAGTACTGTGGGGGCTGGAATTTATGACAGAAATTTTGTTGAAATTTAATATAAATATTACTCTTACCAGCAGCATTCTCAGGTACTTTACAGAAAGCCACACTTGTATTTCCACTGAGGAACTCTAGAAGGCGAGCTCGGAAAGAGCGAATTCGCCAAGTTTTTATAAATGTCATTGCAATGTAAATCGGTGTAAATAACATATTTAGGCAAGATAGATTTAAGCACCAAGCACAACACACACTACAGTTTCATATTAAAGTAATATTTTGCGTATAATAACATGACAAAACTAAAAAATGTATTATCGATTACGGGGTTTATCTTATGGGTTAAAATATTATATCACTGAATTAGATATATCGAACTACGTCTTCACAGAGTAATTATTCCTGTTAAAATTATAAATACGACATTATTAATTCATTACTTTAACTAGAAATAGCAAGGAAATAAATTAAATTTAATAAATTCAATACTGCACAACGGCAGAACACAGATAAAAATTCGAATGAAATTTTAAACGTCAGAGAGATGTCAAGGAAGTTGCGTCTAAAAACTAAACATTTTCTAAAGATCACCAAACAAAAAAAAAATTCTAACAAAAGTAAGAAACTAAAAACAACTCAACTTAAAATATGTATTTTTTGCTACGTACATAAATGGTTTAATATCGATTAAAAGGTTACTCTATAAATTTTATGCTATAAATGTTACCGTTACATTCTGAATTACATCAGATAACACTAATATTGGCAAATTGTAAATATAAGTAAGTTATATCTTATTTTATTGTCCTTATACTATCACTATTAATTGGAAATATTTTAATCAGATCATTAAAAATTGAATCAATCGTTCAACATATTTCGCAGACGATGTCAATCATCTTCGGAACCCAATATTATGCTATAGCTGTCGTCCCCACCTCTGTCCGCGGGGAATTAAAAAAAACTTAAAAAGTAGCCTATCTGTTTTTCCAGACAAAGTTCTACATCTATGCCAAATTTCAGCAAAATCCGTTAAGCCGTTTCGGAGTTACCTTCATATTACTAAACTATCCATCCATCCATCTAAACATTCGCTTTTATAACATTAGTAAGATAAGATTTTGAATCTCTCTTCGTTCATATATTTTAAAATATCTCAGTAGTTCGGTGAGTGCATCTCTGCTCTTTTATTATACTTTCATGCATGTGGCCGCCTTGGTAGTAATAAGCAGATTGGAATAAGCAAATTATCTGTTACGTCTCGTTACTTGCGTATTTGAGAACTTTAACCCCATTTTTATAGCCCATAAAATCACGGTCTAAGCGACCATTATCATTATAAACTTACTCCTTTTACAAATATAATAATTACCTACTTCTTATCGTTATCGATTAGTGTGCAAATACAAAAATATTCCTATGTTTATGATATAGACGTTATTTTAAAAGTGCATAGGTTTCTTTTCTTTATTTAGGCAGAAAGTAACAGGTTTTGACCTAAACCTTATTGAACCTTTGCCTTAAAAAGTTCATTGTTACATTTTTTATTAGCTTTACAAGTTTGTTCACATTTTTCAAGTATTTACCGTAATTTCTTATAAGATTAGTAGATAACTCTTAAATTTTCTCTTTATTAAATTCTGACAACAATAAGCACACGTTGTTATTAATAATAACTGAAATAAAAGCATATGATTGTTCTACGTATTATTTTGCAAGCTACATATGTCAGAGTAATCAATTAAAATAATCAGTTCACGAGTTCATGACAACCTGACTACTTCCTTGCTATTACGTGGTGTGCAGTCAACAAGCATTGGCGCTTTAGACCAAGGGCATGACCACACTGGGACGGTTAAGCAAATAAATGATAAACCTAGTAAATAACAGAATATATTCTTTTTCCTTGTTGTTAACGTACAATAGATAATATGAGACGTAAAATTATATCTTGTTGTATTGCCAGGGCCGGTTTTAACTTTTTTGACGCCCTGGGCGAGATTATCATAGCGCCCCCCTTTTTGTGTCGGGGAAATCTTTCAAAGATATATCTTAGGGGGCACCGCAGGCGCCCCTATACGAGCCCGGCGCCCTGGACGGGAGCCCCAACTCGCCCTACCCTAACGCCCCAACTGTGTATTACTTACTTGGCACTAAAATTAAACTATAGTGTCATATTTATAGAACAGCTAAAACTTTATTACGAATTTTACTACCTGCCACAGGAAATTGCAATGTAAAATTCTATTAAAAGTATTTTTAGCCGACTTCAAAAACAAGGAGGTTATGAATTCGTCTGTTTTTTTTTCAAGCAGCTTTTGGCAGAACTCAGTCACTAGTGCTTATCACATCTGTTAACACAGCAGGCCATAAAATTCACATTCGAAAATAAAAAAAAACAGAATGGATACACCATGTTGATAAAACAAATAGATAGCTTATTATTAATTATTACTATTTATAGAACTAATGCGTATGAACGGATTATTAACGCCTTGAACGCAATACATCATTGTAAACTTAGAATAATCGTTTAGAATCAGGTCAATCGTCAAACGATAATGGTGCCTTGTGGTCAGGGGAATGCAAGAAAAATATGAAGAAAATAATACACAAAATATTTTTTTAAATATAAAAAACAACCCTTACGTACCCCTACCCTGTTAACCCTGTTCTTACTCCTCGCAATATGGAGTCGGGAATCCATTTTTCGTCTTGTTTTTCAACTTTTCGTTCAGTAATTAAATTTTTATTCTTTATTCAAAAGTAAGCAAAAGTTACTTTTTGGGCCTATAATCACCACTTTAAAATCATCTTAGTAATTTTGACTATATGAGGTTATATACAAACATACATACAAACATTATTCCATTGAGTATTTCGATTAGGTTAAAAGGTGGGATATTATAAATTCGCCTCCACATTTTTGGTGTACATTTTGGACGACATCTCAGGTAGTTTGAACCATTCACTTCGGATTTTATTGAATTGTGAAATACGAAAAAGGTCTCACAAAAATAGCCGTCGGTTTTTTTATGTTTAAAACGAAAAGGGCAGGACGTTCACCTGACCATGAATGATAAAAAGTGAGTTTGTTTAGGATTTAGTATTTAAAATGAAACATTTTAAAGTCGACCTTAAGACAATTAAGGAAAACAAAGTAATACTGTTTTGTTTGATAAGTGAAAGGAGTCCATAACATTTTTCAATACGTCTTCTATTTTTTTTTCACCTAATCACCAATAGAATTTCCTTGTTTTTGACGAGTGTTTATTTGGCTTTGAAGTGTTAGTAGTAATCTTACTAATAATATAAATGCAGATGTTTGGATTTATGAATGGATGTTTGGTAGAAGGTATCTCTAGAACGGCTTCATCCGCTGAAATTTGACATAGATGTAGAACATAGCCTGGAAGAATATAGACTACTAATTAAGTATTTTTTATTAATTATGCGCGGACGGAGTCGCTATTGACAGCTTGATTATAATAATTTGTCACGAAAACAATTTAACTCATGCCTTTTGAAAATAAAGATGATGAAAGTATTATCGTAATATTTTTAATTGTAAAATAAAGTTATTGACCCTATTACAGCTATTGTTGCATCTCTGCCATTATATTTATCTCATAGCTATATATTTATTGTAATATATTACCATATACATATAATATATAAGTAACGTATGCTATAATTTCTCTCGCTGATAACGCAACGAGAAAAATATATTTTATTACTATCTGTCGCCCGCGACTCTGTCGTGCGGAATTTTAAAAAAACTTAATAAGTTCCATTCTTCCAGAATATGTTCAACATGTGTGCCAAATTTCATCAAAATCCGTGAAGTCGTTACGAAGGTACCTTCAAACATCCATCCATCTAAACTTTCGCATTTATAATAATGATTCATTTTTTTTTATTTTCATTTAAATATTGGACATTGTGCTAAAGCAAAAATAGTGACATTTTTAAGCTTGAATAAAGTCAAAATAAGATCATAAGGCACTTGGCCAGCATGGTTGACTATGGCCTAATCACCCTTAACTTAGGGTAGACTCCGAGCTCCTCGGTGGGCACGTATTGCTGATGATGATGAAGGTCATAAGGATGTTTATGTATATCTGTGTAATAAATTGTGATAATGCACTTAACATCACCTCGGTGTTCCCGCCGCTCGTTCGTCCCCTTCTCTTATAAAAAACATAACATAATTTTCATTTTATTGGGTTAAAAAATATGGTATAAACTTTTGGCCAGTGTTAGGCAGTGAGATTCTTTTTGCTTGATTTCGCAGTTAAGAATAACCTAAAGGCTTCATCTGATATCTTTCTACCTGCGTCCGAATGGTCCTCTATATCGGTTCAACCGTATTCAAGATAAGCGTTGACATTCGGACAAACAGAAAAAAAAGTGTTTAGATTTTGATAACATCCATTAAATTAAATATAGGGAATTTTTAAAAACAATTGCTTTGTAGTTTTTTTTTTTAGCTTTTAGTATTTGCCATCAAAAGCAAACAAACTTTATTTTTCTACCACTATTTAAAAGAAATGAAGGCGATACAAGAATACAGATATTAAGGTGCTATTTCACAATAACTTAGTAAGACCTAAATAAGTTACTAGCAACTTAATATTACTTCTTATCTTGCTAATATTATAAATACGAATGTTTAGATGGACGGATGTTTAACAAACATCTACTTCTAACGAACTTCTAACGAAGATATCTACAGAACGGCTGCATAGATCTCTCTGAAATCTGACATGTATGTAGAATATAGCCTGGAAGAACACTTAGGCTACTAATTAAGTTTTTCTTAAGTCCGCGCAGACGGAATTGAGGGCGACAGCGAAGTACGGGGCCGCGAACGAGAGCGAAAGCGTGCCCGTGGTCCCGTCCCGATGCGTTGGAGGAACAGAGGGGTTTAGTGGGTATGCCTCCGCTATGGAGGAGAATCCCACATAACTACCGCGTCTCCCCGGGGCGCGGAGTATGCATAAAGCATTCCTCTCTGAAAAAAAAAAAAAAAAGGCGACAGCGAAGTACAAATGAAATACATACCAGTTTGCATTCTCACTGTGTAGTAAGGCCACGATCACGTAGACATTTGCGCTACGCACAAAAGTTCTACGACAAGGATATCGCTAGGCCACTATTTTTATAAGGAATGCATACTTTATATTACTTATTATTAATACTAATTTTAAGATGTGCAATATCAAATCTGTTGGCGCTTAATATTGCCCATTAAAGCGGTAGCTATTAACATCGAATGTTATTTACAACACGACCTCATGCCGTTTGATAAAAGCAGTTGATGTTGTTTACTTTACTTCAGTCGACCATCGGACATCGTTGTGAACGCACGTGCTGTGCTACAAACGCGCGAGTTAGAAAAAAAAAGTGATCGGTGATAAACAAAAATATGGAATTAAATTTCGTAACAACATTAATAAAACACGATGTGAATCATAATGTGAAACAGTGCTTTAAATCTAAAAAACCATTCAGTAAGTTTTATTTTTTTATTTTAATACATTTATTATCAGATTACCCTTTATTTATTTTTATTTATAAACTGTCGCCTGCGACTCCGTACGCGCGGATTTAAAAAAAATATATTTAGTCTATGTGTTCTTCCAGATTATGTTGTATATGTATGCAAAATTTCATCGTCATCCCAAAGAGTATAATAAGTATACTATAGAAAGAGGGGCAACTCGCACGAAGTCGTGGATCCACGGCGATTGTGGCGCTCCATGCGTATAATCGCTGAACTAATTTTTTTTTTTTTTGGTATCTATATACGTAGGCACGCTTATTTAGCTCACTATAATAATAACTGATAAGTGGGAATCTAATTTATGAAATTAAAATTGACATTAAATCAATGTTCAAAAATAATACACCCACTTATCAGTTATTATTATAGTGAGCCGATATCAAGTAGCCTTCTATGAAATACCTCTATTAAAATGATCCTATTATTATTGGGGAAATAAAAACAAAATATTTTTGTACATTATTTATTATATTTCTACATAACTTAATTTTAAATCTATGCAAGTACATATACATCAATGACTTTCAAGATATCAGCTCAATATTTTAATATTTAATATATATATTTGAAAATTACATTTACGGTAATAAATAGTATAGCGCGGTCACAAAAAAATGCATACCCTGTAATTAAAACCAACCCCCAAAATATTTTCAGTCACATGCAAGCTGGCAACTGGCAATTTGTAGTTATTTGCGAGTTTAAACACTCTGAACATATTCTCTTACAACATAGGCAAGCAGATTTTTCTTTACAATAAAAAATTACAAATAAAAAAATATATTTTTTACATATACACACATGGACCCACCTACTAATTTCAGACACATCAGTTTATGGCTCTATAATTCCAGTGATTGGCACACATTTTCTGAACTTCACTGACCTTCTCTCAGGAACAAACAAACAGAATGTGATTTCCTGTCAAGTATAGGAACTGATATGTAAAATGTATTAGAAGTAGGGCACCATTCAATATGATAACCGGAAAGTATAAATCACTGGGGTGCTAAAAACTACACCAAAATACGAAAATGTTTAAATGAGTCTGACGTATGGGAATAACATGAAAATTTTTATTGAATTGTAACTTACCATAATCAGTCCATCTAAAACACAGTTGCATACAGCGTCGTTTTTCACGAAAACACATTTTAATTAAAAACAAAATGAATGAAACAACATTTAACTAAGAATACAAGAACAGAAATAGAAATACGAAAAAACGTAGCGGTTTGATGACACATGAATGTCTCGATGACAGAAATGATGCTTCTTCTCAGCCATGAGATGAAATGATGTTTACGATTATATAAAAGGTGGCGCCACTTTCCATACAAACCGTCGTTCTTCTAAGTTTCCACCCCCTGCGTCATCCGTTCAGCCGTTCTGGACCTTCAAACATCTATACATCCAAATGTTCGCATTTATAATATTACTATGGCTATAGAAGCTAACTTAAATATAATTTAATAAAGTGACGACGTGATCAAAGTATGGTACACACTTGTTTCCTATAACTGGTTATCTACGTGAGAAATAAAGAAAGTAAAAAAAGCTCCAAATGCTTTAGAGAGAGACGGCAAACGTCAGATACAGTTTTGGGTCCAAAATAATATAAATCGGACCTTTTAATTGCCATTTGTAAACATTGTGGACCTTATTGTAATACATTTTAAGTTAAAATTTCATAATTACGAACATATACCTAATTACTCATATACCCTTGTAAATGTTCTCTAGCATTTTAAGACTTTAACGTAAAACATTTTTTTTAATAAAAATGCGTGATTACTCAGAAAAATGCTGATTATTCTTGTAGACAGAAAAAATATATTTATATACGTCGTTAATACTCTTTTAGCTTTATTCTATTTAGTTCTTTTCATATTTATACAATGAAAAAATATTCAAGTACTTTCTGGAAGTTTCTAAATGCAGTCGAGGACGTTTATTTCCTACCCATTTCGATAAAATATTTGATCACAATGTATTTAGGTCGAGAACGTATCATAGCAAAATATACAAGTTAATTTATAGGTCTTACGGTGAAAGTTTTCTCAGTGGGAAACGAATTAAATTCTTTGACTGTACAGAAGACTTAAATATCAAATAGGTAGCATTCACAATTACCTCGTCTCTTTTATCAGAATGTACATATCTTTGAATAAAATTAATGCGACATCACGAAGAATTATTTTTTTTATGTCATAGACAATTTTTTGAACAACCAAACTATCACTACATAAAGCGAACGAATTCAAAATACTACATACATATAAAAATATCTTATTTACCATGTTTCCTCCATATTTACTGATATCTATCTATATATATAAAATAAATTCGTGTTAGTTACACTATTTATAACTCAAGAACGGCTTTACCGATATGCCTGAAAATGGTGAGGAGATAGCTTAGAGCCAGGAGACGGATATAGGATACTATTTATTCGTTCTGAAGATATACGTAATATTTGTTATTACGTATATCTTCTTCATCCTTCCATACATGCATCTAAACTTTGATATTCACTATTTTAGTAAAGTTTTGGGTATATTTTAAAGTATTCTCCAGACGAGACTTTACGAGTTTAATGTATTCAAGTTTGAACAGGTAGCATTTAGACCCTGCGCCAAAGTTCTCTTTTGAATTCATTGTTCCGCTTTTTGGGACAGAATACAAAAAACGTGTCTACGTGTGGGAGAGCACACCACAGTATTATAAATAATATTTTATAGTTAAATCTTAAAAGATTCTACGGTTTATTCCAGTTTATATTTACCAATGATATTTTGTAAAAAAGCCTTATTAGTGTAATATACTAATACTTAAATAATAAAGTTTTTTTTTTCAATTTAGGATTGAAAAGTTAATTTATCAACTTTTCGCAGGCTTTACGTGGCATTATATAATAAAAACGTATGACTTACTTGACTTAAAGTCCTCTGTCGCAGTAGTGGGGCAGAGGGCGTCCACAGTGCGTCGCCACGCCAGTTCGCTTGGGCTCTGCGTTTGGTCTCGGGCCATGTCAGTCCGATTGCCTTCATATCGGCAGCTACTGAGCGCCGTCAAGTTTGTTTAGGACGGCCACGTCTTCTTAATAATAACGTATAGTAAAGTGCAAACCTTTCCATGTCATCGAAAAGTATTACGTTGTCGGTATTTTTTAACGCCTTTTAGGTCGTGATTGACTTGAAAGGTTCTAAAACTCTATTGCTCACCGACCAACTTTATCAATTCTGCATACGAGACCCATCTCTGGCTGTCACAAAATCGGGCCATAGCTTGACTGATCGGGATATGGCTTGATATGTGAAATTTTATTTTTTCTCATATTCCCTTGCGGTCGCGACATAATCTCTCTCTGATATTAGACAAGATAAAGCGATGAATTAAATAATTCTTGTGTAGAAAATAATTATATATAAAAATACATACGTCGTTCTACTATTACTGTACTTCATAAAGTTCAATGACCTTTAATTTTTATAGCAAATACCCCGCGCACATGTCAACTGCAATAATTAGGATACTGTTATCTGTTTGCCGCCTAATTGTGACGTTTATGAGTCCTGTCTTGTCGTAAATACGTGACTGGATCAACGTAGCGTATACCGAAGTCCAAATTTAATTGATTCTATAATGAGTTGCTATTTGCTCGTAATAAATGAATAAATAAATTTATAGACGCATTGTTAATTTCAAACAAATAAGCATTTCATAAATTATTTTTAATTTTGAACATGTTTTTTATATTGAATACGCTAGTGCTTGCACGATCCCATCTGATAAGTAATGATGTGGTCGAATGAATACTTGGACGGAAAAACTGACGCAAGCAACTTGTACAAAATTTTATCTTATTAAGTTTAGATGGATGGACGTTCAGTTTACCTCTAGAATAACTCCACGGATTTCGCTTTATGACATAGATATGGAGCTTAGTCTGAAAGAACACTAATTAGGTTTTATTTTGTAATTCTGCACGGATTTGCGGGTAAAAGCTTCCAATAAACATATGTCTTATATGTAATTTTCTATTCTAATCGACCAGTTTCAAAACAATAGATAAACTATCACTTAACGACTGATAACTAATGTTATTATACAATAATACTCTTGGTGTTAATTAATCTTGGATAGTATAATAAAGATTGGATTATTTTTGTTACAGTAACGCGAAAAGAAGAAGTGATGGCTATCAAAAATAAATTTCCCACCAAAATACCGGTAATAATACACTTTTTTTTAATTTTATGACCTGGTAACATAGACTTTTAGGTCATATCTTATTTGGAAAACTATTTTTTTTAATAATCATCAATATCACAGATTATAACAGAATTCCTATTTATTAATATTTAATTTTATTAATTATTTTTTTAGTTAATCGTCGAAAGATCACACAAGGAAAGAAATTTGCCAGCTTTAGACAAAACCAAATTTCTCGTACCAGAAGATATTACAATGTCACAATTCCTAGTCATTATAAGAAACAGAATAAGGATTAAACCGAATCAGGTAAGATATACGAAATATAATTTATTAATCATTTATCTTTTTCAATTTATGTTTTGAAATTCTGTATTATGGGGAATTGTTAAAACTGACATTGACAAACCAGACAGTAGGGATGTTAATGTTTACGATTTTTACGGTTTTTCCTCGACATATTTTTTAAATTATTATTTTGACATTGACACCTAATAACAAGTGACATTTTGATCGAAATATCCTGTCAAAGCTCAGTTGAGTGAAACTTAGATGATGGGCTAATTCACTGTTATCTTAAGATAATATAAACATGTTATTCATTATATTGGTATTATCCGACCATTTGCTAATGGATCCTTACACTATTATTAAATCGCATAATCAGTGTATATTACTTACGTCAGCGGTTTATATTAATTATAATTAATTTAAATGACTGACAAAGACCAGGGCGAGGGCGATGATACTTGATAAGGATATTAATTGAGTAAAGAAAATTCTGCGGACACTTCGGTGTCAGATGGAAGTGACGTTAGTCATTTATAATGTAAATCTAACGCACAGTTAGTAGTACGTTATTGATAACAATGTTTTATTATTTAAAATTGGTTCTTGAAAATTTTAATAATTGCATTTGCGACTATCTTGTTATCATTCCGATAAAATATAAATTTTAATTTCCTAAGGTCCAATTTACCAAATTATAATATTATCTTTCTGGCATATCATCATGAGAAATCGGGGCATTTTGATAGTAAATATTTTCTTGTTTGCTGATTATTAATGATATTCATTTTGTTTATAGGCACTTTACTTGATAATCAACAACAGATCGATGCTAAGCATGAGCCTGACCATGGCCCAGGCTTATGAAAACTTTGGCGATGAAGACGGCTTCCTTTATATCACTTACGCCTCGCAAGAAGTCTTTGGATACCATGACGGTAAGATATATTATTCAAACTTTTCCGCGGCTTATATCGGGGACTGGTACGAAATTGTGATCCGCAATAAGGTTTGCATTTAGGAACTTCAAAAATAATAAAATGAATATGCTCTCACATAAACATTTGTGCCTTGTTAACAGATATGACGGGTCCCAGTCAGGAAGTTGAGGCGATTAGACACCGCTTCCCAAATAAAATACCGGTAAATATTCTATCACAATATCTCTTCTATTAACGGTTCAATTTCTTTCGAAATAAGTTCAAATTCATTTTAATTGTCGCAAATATTATTTCAAAAATCTTTCATCTTAAATTTGGTACACAGATTTGTTATTTATGTTTTTTTAATGTATGTGGTTCGACAACACTCCATGTTGCTATGAGGGTTCACTATCTAAAGTCCAAACATTTGTGCAAGAACATAATATATATCATCTATCTATTATCTGATTTATCAACAGTTGTTCGTGGAACGATATTCTCGTGAGAAAGAGGTGCCCGCGCTCGGCAGGAACAAGTTCCTAGTGCCACAGGAACTCACCATGTCCCAGTTCCTTTATATCATACGAACCAAGATGAAGTTGAGGGATTCTCAGGTAGCGCATTTTTTTAAATTAGAACATTGAGAGTTTAAGTGCCATATTCAAAGTTATTAAATGATTGCTTGGGGAGTTCGTGTAGATTTATCTTCAAGAGATCTAAACTGTAAAGTCCTTGTAATTGGAATATCAAAATCACAACAGTTTTCGTAGTTTTAGAGCGAATTGTAAGAGTAAACTGTCGAAATACTTCTCAATAGGCACATAATAATAATAGTGATTGACAGTTACCAACTACCGATAATATTTCTAAAAACTTAATTTTCCGTTTCCCATAGGCGCTATATCTATTGGTGAACGACAAAGTTTTGGTGAGCCATAGCATGACGATGGCGCAGGCGTATCAACAGTTCCGTGGCAACGATGGCTTCCTCCGCATCACGTACGCAGCACAGCAAGTATTTGGTTAATAATGTAAGTTGCATTCCCTTTATATTGTGTGAATCAAACCCGTATTAGATGTGTTTTAACACGTTGTATGCTAAGATTTTTTTACCTATAAAAATTAATTCTCGAGTCATGTCGGCGGCACTGAAGTGGTTTTTTACATCGAGAATGAGAGAGATGGCAATATGATTCTGTAGAGGCATTCCGGTACTAGAATCCCATAGTTTTAATAATTATATGATATTAAAAATGTATTGTAAAAAACTTTAGAGATCCCAATGTTATTTCACAACATATAAAACGTCGATAAGCTTAAATTGCTATAATGTTGATAAATTCGTACTAGGCATATAACAAAGAAAGTGGATATCGCATCGGATGGAGAGAAAGTCTATTTTTAGAACTCCTTTACCCTTTATCGGCCTGCAGCCAAGGTTAACAGCGTATATGAAAACAAATCGTTATCTTGTCCCGATTCCCGTATAAAGCTAAAGTACAAATCAATGCAAGCTATTATAAACAATTTATAAAACACTAAGTTATAAAATTTATAAATAAAAATATTTTATCAAACTTTTTATATATTTTTTTACTACAACAAAATGGCATTAGTCAAAAAAACAAAATAAAGTAACGCTTTTAGGTAACATTTAAACTGGTACGCGAGGATGGTCTGTACAACACTACTTTGACGGTTATGAGATTTGGCGCCCAAATTTATTTACATTATCAAATCAATTAATATTTCTTTGATTAATATAATATTAAAAAAATATACATATTTGCACGAACTTTTATTTCTTTTTATATACGACATGATTATTTAAATATAATTATAGTAATAAAACATTCGACCTGCCAACGAAAATATTCCTATCAGTGGTTGGTATTACATTACGGTATATCAACACGTAATAGGTGCTTCTACATTATTGATTTATTGGTTTGTTGTGATAACTGGCCAATAAACAACTTTACATTGTAACATTCACGTATCTTTGTGGAAGAAAACACTCGATTATGTTGTGCCTATATACGTCAATATAAATTAAACTTGATAAAAATATGTGCAATTATTACAATTACTATAATATTGTTATGGATTTTACCGGAGTATTATTACTAAGTAAAATTCGTAAAAGCGCCTTGAAATAAAGATTGTAATAGTTTGAAAAAAAATAAAGAGCATGGTAATTAATAACCTATAATTCTTATCATGTCATGTACAATTTCCATAACATTCGTTAGTAACATATGCTAAATTTGTAAAACAATACGAAATGAAATCAAACCTTCATAGTTTTTTTGTTGCGAGGCATTTATCAAATTATATGGTCGCTATCTAAAGGGTGGCTGACCGCGCTAATCAATGCAAAGTTGCCATGTCCGTTTCGGCAACATTTTGCCTTCTTGTCTATCAAATTACATTATGATATAATAATTATATTTAATGGTAATTTGACAATTATATATTTCCAAGATGTCAGTTAACTTATGAATATACACCAAAACTTAATCGAGACGCTTTCAATCTTTGCAATAGATAATATTAGATGGAATCTCTTCTTACTGGTGCAATTTGCTCTTTGATGAGCTGTCAGCCACGATTCCTTCCGCTCGAAATTAAAGAAAAAACTTGTTGAATGTTCTATATCTGTGCCTTCGTCAAGATTCATGGAGCCGTACCGGGGATTCTTGTAAGAAAAATCCATCCAGACATTCGTATTTATATTGGTGAGATTTAAAGAAAGTTTATAGGTTGTAACATCCAACGCGAACAAATCTATAAAAAGAATTGCGCATTATTATTTGTGAAAGTCCTTCGTATTTGAATATATGGTAGTGGTCGCTTTCCTGTCTAGATAGGCTAGGACTTCTGAGAAGTGCCTACAGAAACGTTTATAACAATATTAATCAACAATTTGTAAGCGGACATTTTGTTTTTTGTACAATTCCACTGATGATCATCGTTTATAATTTATATATGTCACAATAATAAGTTTATCGCGGGTCGTGGAGAACAAACAGTCGTTGCCAGGAGCGAGGATTGTCTCCAACTTGTTGATAGTGACAATTTATGTTCTCTTCTGAGATATCTCGGTAGCCCCCAGCGGATTCTAAATGAATCACATTCAATCGAGTAATATTCCATTACTTGCTTTGTTTCAAGTATCTTCGATTTATTAGCGTTAAAGTTTACTGAACTATTACGTATTTCAATGTCAGATAGTTTTAATATAAGTTAATATTTGTTTTTAAACTAAAGTATGGTTATTTATACTTTTGAAATTAAGGATTTAAATTGAGTATTAGGAACATTTTGTTACAAGACAGAGAAGAAAGACGTAAAGTAACATAGGTGTGAGTGAGACAGCAACGTAGATTATATTTAGTGTAAAGCAAAACGTGAGAAGGATGTGTAATATTTCATTTCTTTGCAGTTGTCTCTCTCTCAAATATTATAAGTGCGAATGTTTAGATGGATGGATGTTTGTTAGAAGGTATCTCCGAAACGGCTGAACGGATGTCGCTGAAAATTGGCATAGATGTAGAACATTGTCTGGAAGAACACATAGGCTACTTATTAAGTCTTTTTTTTGTTTATCGCGGACGACAGCTAGTCTGTAATATATTTTTTCTTGTTTCAGGTAAATTTCGCAATCCAGTTCAGTGGTAATACTGGTGATTCCTAAAGCTAATGAAGACTGATAGTATTTTATATTGTGTTAATATTAAGAATATAGGATTTTTTAATTTTGTTTTTTAATCAAATGACACACCGTACTCATAATTCAATCTGCGAGAATGCACATATTTCTTTGAACAGACCTCGTTGTTTATACTTAATATAAGCCTTTGTGGATAAAATCAATGTGAAATTAAAAGCTATCAAGATAAAGAGTAGATAGGTTATGTTAGTATATAGTAAATAGTGCTTCCTAAAATATGAAACTCATTTTTTATAAAGATAATATAAGCGATAAATTAAAATTTTTAAAAGTAACATTTTATGTTTATTTTAGTCTAAAATAAGTGCCTTTCCTGTGAGGTGTATTATCTTCCAATCATATTTGTTTTTTTTTCAATGGTATAAAAGGCCTATTTACTCTTTTAAATATTTTAATAAAATTATCGTATTGAAGTGTTTATTGACTTATGTATTTATATTTTATTGTATACTTAGATATAAGAATTATGTGTTTTAAATTTGTGTATGTTATGTAATCGTTCATTTGTATTATATTTTTAAATGTATCATTGAAAATTGGATTATGATCTCAAATGTTTAAAAATTTTATCTTAAAATGGTTACAAATAAAATGAGGTGATTAATAAAAATGTGAAATTATTTATTGATATAGAAATTGTTAGAAAGAAAATCCGAATAGTGTCAAAAGTGCCAGTGTATTGACTCAACGCTGGCCATACTAGGCTGTCGACGTTTGTGTCCCCTCACTGATTCATTCTGACACTGGACTTCGTTACGAAAGCATGTCATTCGCGCCAAAGGATTCTAATTAATAATGTCAAAAAAATAAAACCTTTTTAATTTTCAAACAATTTATTACTTATAATTTGAGTCAATAAATACAGATATTCTTAACAGGGCCGTCTTAACCTGAGGGCGCAAGGCGACCGAGCGCCCGTGAGCCCTGGAGGGCACAAGGCGACCGGGCGCCTGTAAACCCTGGAGGGCGCTAGCCAATAGACGTGCTGCTTTACACACCCGGGCGCCTGATATGGTTTAGGCGACATTGATTCACAATATTATAATAAAGAATTATAAAAACATATAATTATATACACAGATTACACTTAATTAATATTATTACTTATGAATACAGTTTCGTTCATTCGGTGGGCGATATGTTTTGTGCGGCGGCGACGAGTGTATCATGGATGTCCTTGGCGTAGGATATTTGAAGACGTACCGTATTGAGATACTGCGGATAAGTTAGCTGGGTATCCTGTCAAATTATTGGATATACTGTACAAATATATAAACAATAAACAAAGATAATATGACTGATGACCTTTTTTTCTCATAGATGTCGACAATTTTCTCCTAAATAATTATTTTATCGAGTAATAGAGTCATAAAACAAAAAAAAAATATGGACTATGAGTGGATATTTAACGTATTATTACTATAAGAAAATTATTATCACATCTTTTCTTCTTTACGCAATAAAAATGTATCGAAAACTAATCCATAATTCGATTGTAATTGGACAAATAAGATTGAATTTTCATCAGTTCAAAAGCAATATGTTTATACGTAACAATGTTAGCAAAGTTCAAAACTTAAATTAGTTTAAGAGATAAATTTAAACTTTATCAATATAAACGTTCCCAATTAATCCGATAACAAGATCTGAATGGAGGTATCAACTAAACAATAAAATGATAAACAGCTGCAGTTCTTTGACCTAAGGGAAGGCGTGGGCTGAGTTGACAACTCTCCAATCTAATCTATGAACAAGTGTTGCTCTATTATACGAAATTAATAATATTTATAAGGCGCAGTTTCATAGACAAACAAGACTCTAAATCAGTGGTTCCCAAACTTATTTTGTCTACTGCCCACTTTGATAATAAATATTTTTTTAGCGCCCCCATATTTTCACATATTTAAAAACCACTATAACTTCAAATTAAATTAATTAATTATTGTGACCTATATATGTATATTAACGGAGAATGCTAAACGAAAATTTTACTATAACCCGCAACTTGAGACCTGCAGCGCCCACAAGGGGGCGTTATCGCCCACTTGGGAAAGACTGCTCTAAATGCATATCATCGTTCAATGCCTTAATAAAACCACGATAGATTTTGGTAAGATGTTCTGAAGACAAGGCATCTTTGTCCAAAAAATTTTACGAGTACGACTTATTCCTATTCAATACTTTTAAAGTTATTTTTCCCTGGCACTTGAACAGTTTTATACAAGTTGGAACAACCTTTTTTTGTCGAACTAGAATAGTAATAATAAATTAAATGTGAATTTTATCTTACTTGTGTTGGTGGTCCGGAGTCAAGTCTCGACGTGTTCACGGTGAGAGGCAGGTAGTGCGCTGCGGACTGTGCCTGTTGGATGCACGTCATTGCAGTGCGCTGGCAATCATATACATAAATATTAAAACAAGGTTTTATTTAATGTATAAATGTGGAAGGGTATACTTGTAGGCAGGAGCGGCGTTAGATTACCGTTTGGGCGACCGAGCGACCGACCGGCGTCGGAAAGAGACGGACGCCAAATGTATGCGAATTACAGTCTCACATAACCCACTTACCCTACCCTTAGCGAATGGGCCGGCTGGACGGTACAGTACTAAGAACACACAGACAGGTGTCAAGTGGAAGTAATTCCGCTTTTCAACTGATATGTCATTCCGGAGTCTTTTGACCTTCTTGACCTTTTCACCTTTTTCTTTTAAGGAAAGGATGGGAAGGAGAAATGGATTTGATGAAGGAGGGAACATATCGAAACATGTCTGTGCGTCTCGTTTGCAACGGCAAATTTAAGTGTCCACTTGCTCGTTTGCTACCTTATAATATAAAAAAACAAACGCTCGAAAAAACGTAACATGCCTATGAAGGATAAAGAATAGTGCTGTCACTATTATAACGAAGTGATATAGATAACAAAGTAACCCATCATAGTAACAAGTTGTAATTCAAAATATTTATATTATAAACTAAACGACATTCAAGAGAATCATACGATCGTTTAATCATAAAGATTAACACTCGATCACTATTATTTATATCACTAGTTGTCGCCTGCGATTCCGTCCGCGCGGAATTAAAAACAAACTTAATAAGTAACCTATGTGTTCTACCAAACTATGTTCTACATCTATACCAAATTTCACCGAGATACAAGCCACCATTCTGGAGATACCTTCAAATATACATCCATCCATCTATCTAAACTTTCACATTTATAACATTAGTAAGAAGTAAAATACTGTAGATGTCAAAATTATAAATGTTGCAAAAGTGAATTTCCACTTCCGAAACAGATATACAAAAACATTACTATCTCAGAATTTTCAATAGGAATGAAAGAGATGAAAGAACACAATTTGCTTAATGTTGATTGCTTGCTGGGTCAATAAGTTAATTGTTGCACTGAGAAATGTCCTCTACTTCTCTTACAATGTATATTATACATAGTAATAAAATAACTAACTACATTTTTATATTCAAGTACAAACAGGAAAAGTCCGGAATAATTTTAGATTGTAATTAGAGTTAGAACTATGTGATACTAAGTTTAGTATCTATAATTATTATTTTGCATATGAACATAATTTATTATGATTTTGCTAAAATCTACATTTTGACCAATCATATGAAGACAGTTTCATCTCTTAAGAGATCGAAAAGAGAGTAACATCTCTTAAGATATCCCAGTTGTATGTGTTAATTTCAAAAACAAAAACATTTCACAGCAAGGGACTTCTATAAAAATTTACATTTATCAATCTTAATAAAATAAATAAATAAATAAATAAATAAATAAATAAATAAATAAATAAATAAAAATTATTCTTACCAAATGCAGTTCCATTTGATCACAGAGTGAGAAGAATTCTTCTAAATTTTTATCAAACCTTGGCACTGGATTGTCAAGACTTTTTCTGAAATGGGCAATATATTAATTAAAAGCTGACACCACCACCTTGTGTGATGCAAGCTAGGGAGAGAGAGAGAGAGAGAGAGTCAAGATATTAATTAGAAAAATAAGACCCTTTCAAAATAAATTTCAGCTTGATAACTTCACGCGTTTATGAGAAAAAGGGTCTTGACAGACAGACGGATGGACAACAAAGTGATCCTATAAGGTACCGTTTTTTTCCTATGAGGTACGGAACCCTAAAAAATTGAGCAAATGGATGAAGATGAAATCTGAAACAGGAGTTAATGTGGAAAAATGCATCTAACTACTTTTAATCAAAAATCACCACTTTAAAAAATTTGATTAAGCTGTCAATGTCTCTTTTCAGTTTTAATTTAATTAAATAGGAATAAAATAAAAGACTAAACTTACTGTGGATTGGAATCGATGCAATGATTTTGATGTAATATTTGCGCTCCAGTTTTCAAGCTCATCTAAAATTAAATAAAAGTCAAATTATAAAGATAAATTATTTTAGAAGGATACATATATGGGCGGCACTGGTCATATTGCTAGATCAGATGCTTGCTTGTTCGACACTTTCTAGTGTATAAAGAAATAAATTCAATAAGCACTAGGCAATTTGGCTTGAGAAATTGTAATGATATTTACATTTTAATAGAATAGAATTACTTCTTACATTCAAAGATTCACGGAGTGAACCCATCAGAGTTTTAACTTTGGAAATATTATCCAATTTATCTTGTTGTGTTTGTTGAGACATAGCTGGTTGCATTTGTTGTGGTGAAGGTTGCTGCATGATAGGTCCAGCGACTGGCATTTGCATGCCAACATTAGGTTGACCGCCTACGGTATTCATCGGGACGTGCATATTCATTTGATTCATTTTGAAAATAAAGATATATAATTTTTTAAGAAATTATGTGTTGTTTTAATTGTTTTGACAGAACGATACTGTGACAGTGACAGCTATTTTTTTTTTTTAAAGTCTGGTGGCTAAACCGAAACGAACATAGGTACAATTTAGTTTTGTTGACATCATAGTAATATTCATGATTTCGTTAATTCATTATAATATAATCAGTTTACTTCGTTATTAACAATATTCTAGTTTGAAATAAAAAAGCAGCTTAGTATTATTATAATAGAAAATACGATAGTAGTGTGGAGCTGGCGAGTAGTGGCTGAAAAACCAAAAACCTCTTTGCATTTCGCGCTAACTCGTTAAAATAAAAAAATTTAAAGTTCTCAAATTTGAAATTTCAAAAGTTTTTAATCAAACTTGTCCATTATCGTTTTATTTCCAATACAAAGTAATTAAATATCTTCAATGGATGCAAGTTTTAAAATATTTAATGCCACAGAAATATGGAAAGTATGTTTCAAAGTAGAATGTTAGTTGTATTGTTTGTAAATCATGTTACCATTTATATAATAAAAATCTTTTTCTAGCGTGAAACTAGCTTGCCTTCTATTCCTACATTCAGTCAAAAACTTGATAATATTTTGGGAACCGATGGTATTCCACTAGGATCTCTTACTGAATTATTAGGATTACCTGGAACAGGTAAAACGCAAATTTGGTATGTTACATCTTACTAGATAATTTTAATAATCAAAAATTTGTAGCCTTCAATTGTTTTATATTTTAGTAAAATTTTTCTCATAAGCTTGTTATTTATTTACTCAAAATTAATGTAATTTTTAATGTTTCAGTTTACAACTGTGTGCTGCGGTACAGATTCCTAAAGCACTCGGTGGATTGAATGCTCAGGCTTTGTACATTGATACAAATACCAACTTTGTGCCTAATAGATTCAGAGGTAATAAACCCATTAGGATGAATCTTCTAGCTATAATGTTATTTATTTGTGAATCCACAGAAATCCACATACCTGTTTTACACTCATATTGTAAAAGTATCCTCATAAAATTGGGGTAATGTTAGGATTTATTTTCCAATCCACCGATGCCTTTCACCAAAAATTGTATTCAGAAATATAAAATATAAGAAATTTCCTTTCAGAAATTCTATCAGCAACATTATCAAAATGTGAAATGCTGCTTGATGGACAATTTAATGTGAGTGAAGAAGAAGCATTGAAGAATCTACATTACGTTGGTGCATTTGGCTTGGAGAAGTTTTGTGCCTTTATGTATCAGTTACCTAAATTCCTCACAGAAGAAAGTAACGTAAGATTTATGAAAAATCCATACTTTAAATTCAGGATTATTGAATTTATTTATTTTTATAGAGAAAAGACGAAGCTAATTAAAAATACTTGTACATTAGGTACTTTTATGGGAGAAATGTTGTCAAATTTTGGTCCTCGGAGTCGGATATAACAAAGATATGTTTTGTTACAGATAAGATTAATAGTAATAGATTCGATAGCATTTCCATTCAAAGATGCTATAACAGTGAAGCAGCGGACAGGCTTGTTGTTCAGACAGATGGCAGAGCTGCAGAGACTTGCTGTTCAAAGACAAATAGCGGTAATCATGAATGTTTTAAATTTCGCTGTTAAGACACCATCTTATACTAATTATAGAATATCCTAAATTGAAATCCTTATGCAGTAATTATTAATTAATTTAGAAAATACTTTCCATTTAATTATTTTAATTAAATGGAAAGTATTTTCTAAATTAATGCACAGGGGTAAACATAGGGATAGGTACTAGAACAGATGGATTAGCCTCAAAGATTAATTTAGTTATGGAGGATTGGATAACTAAAATGAAGGATAGATCAATTTGGATAATCAACCATGTTTGTTTGTAAAAATATGTTCCATTATAGGTAGTCCTAACAAATGAGATGAGTACAAGGGTAGGACTGTCCAGTGGTGCAGTTGTTGGGGCATTGGGAGATGCTTGGGCTCATAGATGTAATACTAGGGTTCTTCTCTCTGCCCCCGATGATCCAGCAGGTGACAGGTTGGCACTGTTACTCAAAAGTAATATTGCTCCGGAAGCAGTTGCCCCTTTTAAGGTAGGTACAAACATACATATACAAAAAGGTTGAATTTTGATGACAATTTTTATTTATTCACCAATCTATATTTTACTTGTCTAATATTGTTAATACACAGATCTGTGTACAATCTAGGTTATTCAGTAATGACAGTTCATTCACTGACCTCTATGGACAGGCTATAAACCATGGTATTTTGTGTCTATTTGATCTACATTTTGACGATGACGGTTAAGGTTAGTAGCGGTGTTGAGGATTTGAACTTGTAAGAGATGGAATTTACTAGAACGACGCAAAGGTTATCTTTTTCAGGTGCCCTATCCATTTATGAGATCTGTGCTGTGATTGCGAGTATGATTTGCAGTCTCTTTCTATTCGATATAGAGACAGCAAATGTAAATTCTTAATTTGAATTGGACTATATAAAAGATGGATTTTTTTTTTCAGATTACATTAGAAGGCATAAGGGATGTTAAATAAAACACTTTTTGAACATACATAGTTTTATTAATCAATTGTAAATATCATAAACAAAACTACAGCACCAATAAATATATCTCATTTTCACAAAATATCAAGCTTTTTAATTCTAACACCATTTCAACAGTTACACAGAATATAAAGGCAGTTTCACATCGGAACATAGCTCAGAGAGTGCAAGGCAACTCTTAAATAAAACTGTAGTCTTTATTATGCTTTTTTTTCTTAGGAAACGAGTGTAAGTAAGACGCGTTTGTAGTCCCCTTTCGTATCATCCTGCAAAATATTACATCGATTTTGTAACATTCAGAAAACTCGAATCATGCAAAAGCTAAAAATAAAGTTTTATAATATTGCTACAAAAATATATATATCTATTTTGCAGGATTAAGCACAAAGTGTGACTAGCACATTCCTGAAGTCACCGTTTAGGTCTTCCTGTAAACAAATATCAAACCAATGCTATAACATTAGGTAAAATAGACTATTCAGAAACTGGCCCATTACAGTTCAATAAAACGTGCATATAAAAAGCAGGAGATTAAACAATTTAAATACTCTTAATAAATTATAAAAAAATATATTCGAAATGCAATAAATACCAAAAGGTATAAAGGTTATTTCAAACCAGTAAATATTCGATTAAATACTGTTAATAAAATCTCGATGTCTTAGTAACACAGTGTGGATAGGAGAACTCCAATTGGACCATCGATCTCCTCCTGAAAAAGGTAACTTGGTAAGCGAACCATAGACAAAAAGGTTCACCATTCCCCATGCACTCATACGAAGCTGTTAGCTAACGGTGAGGAAAATTACAATGATGTGAAACAAATAAGCAAAATATACAGATCTTTGTGAACGAAATTTACATCCAATGAACATATCAATAACCTAAATAACTAAAGAGATTTCTAACGTAGAGAACGCTGTTATCCTGACTTCGAATTATTCAACAAGGGTCAACAAAGCCTTCCTGTAATCCCCGGAAGTATCGTCCTGCAAGAAAAATTTACTATTCTAAAGATTCAATAAGAAAATAAATCTTATTTCTTTCAAAGAAAACCAAACGAATAATCATTATTTACAAACGTCACTAATTGTGAAAACAATAATTAATCACAGTATCACATTTTTAACAGTCTTCTTTTTTGACATTTGAACAGATCTGTATAATCTATGGTTATGAAGTTTTTAAGGTTATTATGAGTTTCGCGCCATTATAATCCCCCGTGCTAATATAAATATAAAGAAATTCGTATATTGAAATAATGGGTCAGTTTCTTTGTAATATTAAAAAATATATTCAAATTCATGCTGTTAATTTCACAACATATTTTTGGAAAAACATGCGAGTTAATCTACAAAGAGAAAAAATATATATTTCGAAAAACGTGAAGTATAAACTATTTTGACATATTATATTAGCTATGTTTGATGATAGTTAAACACAGATAAAAAATAACTTAGTACATGAATCAAAGTGTTAATGTGCTAAGGAACAAAAAAGCATGATCAAGTGATTTTAGATATACAGATTAAAAAACTCACAGCAATCCAGGTCTCCAAAGGCTTTCCGTATTTATCGAGGAATGCTTGTTTGATGTCTCCCAAATCGATTTCAGAACGGCTCACGACAATTCTGATCAGAGTCTTGTCATTGGTGCCAAGTCCCTTCATCGAATAGTAAAGACGCTCAGCGAAGAAACCCACTTTGCTTTTCACGCATTTGACTAGAAATAGGATTGTTTTTTTATTACACCTAAAATTTTATTCTGAGTTGCCTGTGTTATAGACGTTTTTTTATCTTTTTAATTTTCCCTCCATACTTAACCTCTAAGAGTTGTCAAAGAGTAAAGAAGTTATTTTGAAAGTGTGACTGCCAGGATTTTGTTAACTAATAAAATATAATAAAATGAACATTTTAAGATGGCGTCATAATTATTTTGATATTTTAGCTCCCTGAGAGGTTTATAATGTTAGATATATTCTTTTATATTTCTCAACAGATTTTGTGAATTAAATCATGACCATATTACCAATGTAATAAAAAAAATGAGTCAGTCAAGGCGATATACTCATTTCCTGATAGGCGCGTATTACGTGGCCTCAGAACATTACAATGCTTTAAGATCGAGTTACGATAACAATCGTAAACTAAGTATTGGTCACACTTTTAAATAACACGAGTATTTTTTTCAGATTTTAAAAATTAAATAAACTATGTCTTGATTTAAATTTAGTCCTAAAGATTGTTTTTTTTTTCTTATAGTTTTATCGCAAAATTGAATTTTAGTTATATGTTTTTCCTTCTAACTAAGTTGTTATAATTAATTTGAGAGTTATAACATTTAATATTAATTATATTATATAAATAATTGCAGTCAACGTACTAATTAAATGATTATGTATGAAATAAAGGCATTAAAAATAAAAATAAAACGTAATTTTTTTAAATCGATTATCTTATACCAGACGTTTTTTTTTTATCAAAATATGTTAGTTGCATAATACTGAAATTTATTTACCAATAGCCAGCATGCCCTTCTCGATGCTTCCAGAGAATTCTTTCTTGATTGTCTCTTCAATATCTTTGCCGGCCAATGCTTCGTATTCTGCGAAGATCTGAAATTTTATTTAGTTTTTTTTACGACTGTCTGATTTTATCAAATGTTATTTCTCTCTTCAAGGTCAAACGTGAGTCAGTGATAATTGGAAAGGAATTTACGTTGGTAATATTGTGCATTTTCCAACTTCACCGATTGAAATGTTTGTGATAACGTTTGAGGGAATTTATATGACATACAGTTGGTTTCTGAGACCATCTTCATATAAAAATATCCCTGTCATTATCTTTGAAAAAGCGGAGATCTATTTTAAATGGGGATTTTGGAGATACTCGAACTAGGCGGATTATTTAATTATGTTGAGTTGTAAATTAACTACGTTTAAAAACTTGTTACAATGTATTTGAACTTTCAAGGTCATATGTATACAATTGATAAATATTTATAATCTGTATTCATGAATACACAATATGAAGAGCTCAGTTTGCAGAATTGAACACGTCATCGCGTTATATGGCGGCAGCGCCAACACATGATTGCATTCACCGATTGAATAAAATAACTAATTCAAATTGATTCACTTTAGTTATTGTTATAGTGCCAAAGATTATTGATCTGACGCCATTTCTGTTAAAGAGTATTTGGTTGAAGGAACATCAAATAAACTGATATATACACACGGCTAAACACTCACGTATATACGTCCGGTGGCGGCACCGACTAGTTTCTAGCCCATTGGAGGCCCTTCATCAGGATGAGTGTGTTTATATATTATTTTAGTATAATGTCTCACGAAAGTTTGAATAATTTAACATCAAATAATTGAATTGCGAGATTACGGATCATATTTATAGAATTTAAACGCTTTTTATATAATACATAAGAAGTTATTACAAGTAGTCACTTAACACATTCAATGCTAGTACGTATAAAAGTGAACTCGGAGTGGCACTGAATATGTTAAAATCAAAATCTTTGTCTTCGTTCCTCAACTTACCTGTCTCAGTTGTTGATAAGAGCGTGTGATAAGAATGGAATTGAAGACGGACTCATCAGTCCCCCATTGTCCTTCCCCTGCGTTGGCGAGCGCTTCAGCGTCGCTCTTTGCCCCCGCCTCGTCCACACCCTGGTTCTCGTCGCGGTTGGCCATGCACAGTGAAACGCAGAGACGCTTGAAGTGACCAGATGTGTCGCCCTTCAAGTCAGATTCTAAGCTTTTGCCGTACACTGTAACAAAGATATATTGAAGAGAAACTATTAAAATCAACATAATGAAAACTAGACCTAGGTCTTATTAAGGAGTAGAGAAGGTTTGGGAAGGCTCCTACTAATTTCTTGTATTTTAGAGTTGGGAATGGAAAGTGGAATTGGCAGAGGAGAGGAGGCATAGGCAAGGAAAATGTCGATTAACGATAGGAAATATTTCTGCTAATGCGGATGTCTATGGGTAGAGATCAAACTTCGGCATTGACTTTATTGAGAAATAATGTCTAGTAAATTCGGACAGTGTACCAATTAGAATAATATTTACGTAATTTCACGGAAGTTATGTTGGTTCCCACCACAGAGTATTTATGGTAATGACTTTATAATTAAATAAACTTTTTTTATGTTAATTCTAACCTATTCGTGCATTCAGTACGTTGGACACGCCCGTTAGACTGTGCTGGGAGTGTACGTAATTTAATATGCAGGACAAGCCCTTGTCTGACCTAAAATAGCGTTGTGTGTTTTTATTTGGAATGAAGTCGTGAGTATTTATTTTTTACGTTGTTCTAATGATATTGTCGGTCTTTTTGGAGTTCAATAAAATTTGTTAGGCAATCCAGCCCTTATGTCTTTGTTCAAATTCTTCAGTGGCAGCTTACAAACGTGATCGTTAGCCTTGAGACTATTCATTGTATTAGATGAATAGAAGTTATTGTAGAGACCAATTTAATAAATGGAAATACACATACTATTGTATGTATGAATTGAACTTGATCTATTGGTTTTAATATGAAAATCTATTGCAGATTATTATTTTACTGGCTTAAAACCAGTGTCCATGGAGGTCGGAGTGTTACAATACTTTATACACGTCTCAAGGTCACAAGTCCCTACACGATCGTTGCATCTCTTTTCCGTAGGGACAGTAGATAGAGATAGCAATATGTCTTAGAACTAGCTACAGTTCTAGACGGTTTCGTATTTCAGATATTATCGTATTACCGCAAAATACATGCTGTTACTGCGGTTAGTTAGAAATTTATATTCCTGTTGAAATAGTAACGCGATTATTTTTTAAACATCCCTTGATCGGATTAGAATGCATGTAAAATCGAACCTGGGTAAGCAAGACACTCAGGTTAGAGGGAAACCTCTATTGAGAGAATGATATAGCGGTCTCCTGGACTCTCGCTTATCTGAAGAGTGTAATTATCTTTGTTTTGCTTAAAAGATACTGAAAAATACGATGAGAGTGTTTGTTACCACTCTTGAAATATACAAATTCATGTGCTAAGAGTCGATACCCATAGTTAGAAGATGCTAATCTGAGCTTGTGGGTTCCTATAGTAAACGTGTAGGACATTTTTTTCAATATTATTAATATATACGAAAGTTTGGATGGATGTTTGTTAGGTATCTCTAGAAAAGCTCCAGTTGCATGCCGAGATTTGGTATAGAATATAGAACATAGCCTTGCAGAACACATAGGTTAGTAATTTAGTTTTTTTAATTGCGCTCAGACGGAGTCTCGGGCGACAGCTATATTTTATACTTACTAGCCTTACTATTGCTAGGCGAATTATTTTGTCTGTCTCGTTACTTAGACTTGACCTTCAAAGTTTTTGTCTATTATCGTTTAAGGTAAATCAAACGAATATCTTTATGAGAAAACGGTTTACGAACGCGAATTATTTGAAATGTAGAACACATTGCAGTATTTTATCGCGTGATTATATTTGTAATCACGTAAGTATTGGAAAACACGTACAGTTAAAGAAATTAATTCGCTATCCACTTATAATCGAATATAGTTGAGTAAAATGTCACTAAAAGAGCTATCATTTACCACGTGTTTTTGTCATAACAAGTTTTCGGCCTAATTGCATTGTGAACAACAATTGACATTTTACTGGGATGGGTAGGATATAAATGTCCTCAACTATGATACGATATTCCTTCTAAAATATCGTAATCCTTAGAACTCTTATAAATGAATACGACATTTACCAGATTAGCGACCACAATAGAGGTCAAATAAATTTGTAAATTGAAGCAATTGTCAAATTCGCACTCATAGTTTATTTTACATTCCACAAAGTAGAGCATAGATTTCCTTAATAACCTTCAAACAGCCTTCGTAATGTTAGGAAGAAAATCCGACAATGTGCCGGTGTATCGGCGCAACACTAGCCTTATTAAAATGTCAACGTTTATGTCCCCTCACTAATCATTCTGATATTTGACTTGGTAACGAAAGTGCTCCATTTCGCTCTAAAGAATGTTTTTTTTAACAGAAGAGGGCAAACGAGCAGCGGGTACACCGAGGTGTTCAACGACGGCCATGGACATCAGCAATACCAGAGGAACGGCAGATTCTAACTAATAATGTCTAAAACTAATAATCTAAAAAGAACTTTGTACTCACATTGTTCGTAGAAAGCTGAAATTGTACGGATGCCGTAGTTGGACAAAGTACAGAGGATCTCGATAATGGCTTCCTCGTCAGTACCAAGTCCGGAAACAGCGTCGTGCAACTCCTTGGCGTAGAAGTGGGGCAGAGGAGTCATCAACGCAACGATAACATTCTCCAAGTTGCCAGTCAGTTCACTTTTCAGCTCACTGATAAGGTCCTAGAGAGAGAAATAATCATCGAATCATTGCTTTCAAAACACATAGCTGTGCTGTGATTTTTTTAAATCTTACAGATATTATAGATGCGAATGTTTTGATGGATGGATGGGTGGATGAATGGATGGATGGATGTTTTTTTGAAGATACCTCCAGAACGGCTGCATAGTTCTTACTGAAATTTGACATACATATAGAACATAGTCTAGAAGAACGCATATGCTACTAATTAAGTTTTTTCAAATTCCGTGCGGACGGAGTCGCGAGCGACAGCTAGTGATTAATATAAAAAACTACAATTTGTTAAAACGTCAATATCGTAAAAACTTTTATTGCGTGGAGCACGAATAGGTCCATTAAGGAATTAGGTCGACTATTCATTCATATTATATCACTGGTTACATTAAACAAACATTCCTATTTATAAATTGAATAGAATCATTGTAAACACAACAATAAAGCCTCAATAGTCTCGTACAGATTGTCATTTTTGTCTCGTAAACATTTTACAAATTTTCCTACTTAGTGGTCTTTCGTCTAGTGGATCTTTCGATCGCAGGAGGTCCACCAGGACCATATAGAGAATTACTGGTATAGTAATTGTTTTTGAAACCTTAGATAGTTTTAACCGAAAACTATGGCCTTATTTATTATTCCCTTCCGTGTATATAATGGCAAGAGAATGTTTTTTTTCATATATTTCACTACTCTAGTATAGATAAACGTATACGATATAGCCTATATGTTCTTCTACACTATGTTCTACATCTATGCCAATTTAGCGAGATCCATACAGTTATTCGTGAGATGCCTTCAAACAAACGTTCATGCATCCAAACATTCGTATTTATAATATTAGTAAGATGTAATTGAAAATGTTATGTTCAGTGAAAATTGCAATATCTAAGAACATACTATGTAAATGATATGTACGCTGTGAAGTATATAACAAGATAGAGAGAAAGTAAACAAAATGATAACATATCAAATGTTATGTAGAAAACAAGGTGAATTGTTTCAATCAAGTAAATGGGTTTATTTATTTTTATTAATATATTTTAACTAGCTATCACCCGCGACTCCGACCGTGCGGAACTAAAAAATCTTACTAAGCCTATGTGTTCTACCAGACTGTTAAGTATTGAAATAAAATGCTGATAAATCTTACTTCTTACTAGTACTATAAATGCGAATGTATAGATGTATGGATGTTTGAAGATATCTTCGGAACGGCTTAACGGATCTCTTTGAAATTTGGCATAGATGAAAAACATATAGGCAACTAATTAAGTTGTTTTTTTTCTAATTCCGCGCAGACAAAGCCCGTGCGACAGCTAGTTTTATATTAATATCTTTGAACACGAAAAATGTTGGTAAAGATTATTCAAAGGTATCAAGGGCACGTAATTAGAATCTATTAGTAGGATTTTTTTCTAAAAACAGTGCATTGATTACTATGGGAAATGATTCACCGATGATTCACTTGAGGCCGCACTTTGCTTACGTTAAATGTTCAAGGTCTAAACAGGTAGATTAGAATCTTAACAGACTCGTGACTAGACCAAGGTTCAGAGATGCGGATTCGCCGAGTTTCAATTTGAGAACGAATTTCAAATTAAAAGATAGTAATAAATTAAAAAGAAAACAAACAAATTCGAACTGTTATTGCTTGTATTAGTTTAATAAAACCTTAGCATTCTAATTTCAAAATATTTACTAAATAAGATATTTTTTTTTTAATTTGGAATTTGCAGACGTATGTGACGAGAAGTGTAATGGCTGCTTAAGATAATGAAAAGGTGTTAAAAGGTTAACAAACAGATAAACATAATTAAATAAAGAGCAACTAGACTCGATAACATGTAAAATGTAGCTTTTAAAATGTTTATAAAAAAATAAAGGATAAAACAGCATTCTGGGAAACCAGTTCTGTACGTTACTAAAAATAAATTACGTTCCGAGATTTGCCATCCCATAAATAACCTTGAGGATAACATTGAAATACATACACATTTTCTTAACATTATTGTTATTTATCTAACGTAATAATGTTTTAAATACGAATGTAAGCATTTATAACCTCAATCTGTTAAAAAAACTCTTAAATAGTACAGATTTTAACAAAAAAAAACTATTGTTAATATTATTTTTCGAAATACGAGATTGATTTAAAAAATATCTTTTAATGCCCCTCATATTGTCGACTTGATAAATATGACGTCATAATATGGTGCGGGTCTAAGCATAGTTTTTAAATGGATTGTGTACCTACATATAAGTACCTAAAACTGCAATATAACATAGTAATTACTTAAAAAAAACGTACCTTTCCATAGTTTGTCTTGAATGTTTCCGCGATCTCCAAACGTTGTACGATACCGCGGCGGCAAAGGACGTCGATGATGGCTTTCTCATCGGTGCCGAAGCCCTTCATCGCCTTCCTGAGTGTCTCCGCATCTGCCGCGGGGTCGAAGGGCTCCGCGGGGTACACCGTGGGGGTGCACTACGGACGAAACAAGCATTTTAAGCCTTAGTAAAACATTAAAACTACAAAGATATTTCCACATTGTCCCGTGGTTCAATGTAATATATGGTCAGTCTTGGCTAAGCTAAAATGTACTACATATTAAATTCCACGTCAGGAACAAAAGTGGTAAATTCCATAACACATTCCTTTAACTTTGAGGCAAAAGTACAAATACCCGAGAAAAAACAGCTTTAACATGTAAATAAATAAAAAAAACTTGGCAATTGACAAACCGGTGATTGCTGTTTTGTAGCATTGTTTTTAGGCAAAAAAGTTTTCCTTTTACTTTTACCTACTTTCTAGTGATTTTCCTCGTACAAATAAAGTTTGTATGTAATACCATGAACCTAAATCTCATGTACAACCTGTTTACTAATTACCTTGGTAAATAAATGGATAGCGTATACCGCTAACCTTGCTCCGGAAAGATGACATCACCACTTCAGAATCGATACTACGGATAGGTATGGCCTTACATGTAGGAGGAAAACTTACCTTGTACGGGTAGTATTGTTGGCCGCTCATGGTGAATATTTACTGAAACAATAGAAAAAAAACTATTGTATTAAATTCACACCCAACTATCAATTATTTGGCCTCGCTAAAAATAAAATTCCATTGCTGTTAACGTGGACCGGCATTTTACCGCTTAGCAAATAACAAACAGACGACGCGAGATTTATAATCTTTTTACGAGTATATTCAACACAATAGGGAATAAAATCACTAATATTTACATTAAGATAAATATTTTTATATAAAATTAACGTATAAATCAACTAATTATACGTACTTTTATATAATTTCAGCGACACACCCAACCGAATTACTATGAAGCGTATTCCGAAATAAACACGAACTAACGACTGCGGAGTGACTGAGCGGAGGTCGGTCACTCTCGGCCCGTTTTGTTCGCCCTCTCACTCACTTGCATAATTCAGATATTACAAACCTTTGGAAATCTTCGGTGTAGTTAAGTGGGATCTCACTTACAAAACACTTTTCAACACTCTCATTGAAAAAATAGTGACAATACATCAATAACATAACGCACACCTGTAACGAAAGGGGTTAACAGAGACCACAAACTTTCATTTGGTGCAGTTCTTACATTTATCCTCTCATTTTTTTACATCCATACATTTACGTACTCGGTGACTATAGTATATTTTAATAAGGGGTGACGACTGTAGTCATAGTTTTATTAATATATGTTGCAGTGTCTTGTGTAAAAGGGAATCTAGAAGTTAACTATACTATATGGCTTAATACAAAGTCAGTGCAGGAAAATCTACGGTGAATCCTTGTAAATCCATGTAAATTCCAAATTCTAAAATTTGAATGATCCAAAAGTTGTGTACCCCTGATATGGCCACGTAATCGCGGCAGCGATGATGTCATCGCGCGGGCGACGCCGCGGCGATCTGAGCTCGAAGACCGAGCCGGCGAACATTGGAAAGCCGGCAACTAGCTTATAAGAATTTTAAAACCTCGCCTCATTTAGTACCCAATTAGAATACCTAAAAATTTTAGACTTTTGTCTCGTTACAGTCCAATTCCAAAAAAATATAATTTAACATTCTATCAAGGATTGTTCGTGCTGCAAAATGGATTAACTAGAGTTTTTGTATATTCTTGCTTTAGGACTTATAATTTCCTTGTTATTTGTTTACTAGCTGTGGCCCGAGACATCGTCCGCGCGGAATTATAAAAAAACATAATAAGTAGTCTATGTGTTCTTTCAGACTATGTTCTACATCCATGCCAAGTTTCATCGTGATCCGTTCTGGAGATACCTTTAAACAAACATCCATATATCTAAACATTCGCATGATTTATAATAATATTAGTAAGATTAGTTTAAATTCAGGGTTCTTTGCAATATCACAAAAAATACTACCCAGTCTTACTATGAATCGTTGATAGTTTTCCTGTATACGTCACCATATGAACAAACATATGCTCGTCATCGATCTAATTTAGTTTTACTATCGTAATGACATCATTTTATTTAAAAAAATAATGTCTTGGAAGATGAATCATTATCATTCAGTAGTTTAGTGATTAATTAAACATCACTGATAGTAGTATTTTGATGAACAGCTCATCAAAATTTTAGTAAACAACACATTGACTGAAAGAATGAGTTGTAAGGATTTTGTAAGAAGACAAATTTCGTTTTCCTGTTAGTGGTGACTTGCTACATTAATATATAAAAAAAGGAAAAAATAATCTTCTTTACTTCTGCATAGATTAGGTTCATTTGTTTCGGAGAAAAGACAAAATTTAAAAAGTTTATTCTTCGTTATAATTGAGGCAAATATATATGTCATATTCGAAACTAGCTAAACGACTCCATCTGCGCGGAACTAAAAAAAATTAACGACTTAATAAGAAGCCTATGAATTCTTTCAAATTATCTTCTACATCTATGGCAAATTTCAGTGGAATCAGTCAAACAACCCGCACTTGGCCAGCATGGTTGACTATGGTCCAATCACCCTTAACTTAGGTTAGGCTCCTAGCTTCTCGGTGGGGAAGTATAGTGAGCTAATGATGATGATATAACACAGACCGTTTAGATTGAAACTATGGTTTATAAATAATACTTCAAAAATCGCATGAAAAATTATAATTTTACAACTTAACATAGTTTAGTTTTATCTATATAAATTAAACAGGAAATACTAAATTTCTGAGTTGTATGGAGCCAAAAAAAAAGTACATTTCACCAGAAATATGAATTTATAATATTTAAATGATTATATTTTTAGGTAAATAAGCAGGCTATATTGTATAAAACTGATTTAATTGCAATTATATATTCATTTTATTAAAATGTAAATACATTGACGGCAGGACATCACAGTACAATTGTGACATTTTATTACTCCGGTAAAAGTGAGCTTATTAGTCCTCCAAGAAGAAGTACTGGCCTGCCCTTTTCTGTTCCATATCCTGTAACATTAAATAAAAATAATTAATATTCAATAAAAAAAAATAATCTATACAAATAAAATACTAAATAATTTCTATCTTTAGAAAAGGAATACACAATTAATCCAACGGACGAAAAGAGTTACGGCTATTCAATGAAAAGAATTACGTCTCTTAAAACATGTGTAACTATTTTCGCAAAAAAAAACTGAATCTATACCTATACCAAAATTATAGTGTACATTTAAGGACAACACAATAATAAGTGACTAGTAAGTAAAAAAACTAGTAAGTAGCCTATGTGTTCTACCAGACTATGTTCTACATCTGTGTTAAACTTCATCAAGGTACATTCAGCCATTGGGTATACCTTAAAACATACATCCATCCATCCAAACATTCGCAATTGTATTAGTAAGATATAGAAAAAGATATTGATTAAACAAAATACATTATTTAATAATTTGCATATCTCTACAGTTAAAAAACACAGTATAATAAATATATTACCTTTACAGAGGCATGTTTATTGATCCTAGGCCGGAAGTTATTTGGGTCACGTCTGAATGTAATGCCAAGTAGCTCTAAGAATTTATTCATTCCGTTTAACAAAGACTGCGGTGCGTGGGCTGTCGCAAATGAAGACGGTGTGCCTTCAAATACTATCACCCGATCCGCAAGGTATGTTGCCATTATAAAATCGTGCTCTACCACGAAGCCTGTTCGTTTTGCATGCAGGATAAATCTGTAAAAATATTATAAAACAAACCTGTAGTGAATGGAATAATGCTAAGAGCCATATAACAATATTAATTATATTATTTAAGTAATGGAAGATAATATAAAAGCGTAGTATATAATTTTTGTCAGCTTTTTATTGATGAATAGTCAACAACTAAAAAAAGTCCAAAATAAATAGTGATTTTTAAACCATACGTCAAACATTTATTCTGTAATTACTATGAAGTTTCACAGAAAATGTTTCTATTTAATATTGCTTAGTCTATCAGCGTTACTACATAAATTAAATATTAAATTCATACCGCTTAATAACTTTAGCTGCTACCAAACGCTGTTCGGAATCAAGATACGCCGAGGGTTCATCAACAAGGTACACATCTGCGGGTTTTCCTAAACAAAGCACCAATGCTACTCGCTGCAATTCACCACCGGATAAGTTCTGCACCTCTTGGTCCATAATTTCCTCAATTTTCATCGGTTTCATTACATCAGTGATAAACTGTAAGAAATACAAAAATAACATAAATATTTCCAGGATAAGCTAACATAAAATTATTTAAACCAGTTTGATCAAACAATTTCATATTAATTTGACATTATTACCTTCCTTTTGCATAATTAATAAAAGCAATATTGCACAGATTAGCTAACACAATGACTAAAAACAGTATGGGCAGGGAAAGAATTTGTTCTGAACAATTTTAATCCTTTAATATGATACATTGGACCAACTACTTACAGAATGTAAATAACAAAATTAATTACCTGTGGATGAACATAGGCATCTCTTATTTTGTCATGCAGCAAGCTTCTGACCAAGCCTTGAGATTTGGGAGATATTTTCTGTGGCTTATAACTAATGTGCAACTGCGGCAACTGGCCCGAACCTGGACAACCACATTAATAAATAACATTTAGATGATTTATTCTCGTTTTATTACACATATTAACTGGAAGTAACTTTTACACAAAAAAAACAATTAAGTATAACAACATAATTGAAATAACCTGATTAGTTTCTTTATACTTTTTCCAAATCTTAACATTTTTAACAGTTGTTTGATGAAATTCGTAGTTTTTATACGATTTAATTTGGTCGTAGTAATAATAAGGCATTAACAAGCTACATTACTCGCTATCACTAGCAATTGTAAAACTAGGACGCGTCAATATCTACGTACATACAAATATTACCTTCCGTACATATTGATGATTCCGCATGTTTTAAGCACTTTTGAAATACAGGATGGAAAAACAAATCAAATAATTCCGTTCTAGCCATGCTAAAGTCTTGGAACTACGGTACCAGTCCATTCAAATACACTTATTTTACATTTAACCTATAACCTCAACATCGAAGCGTCATTTACATTTTTAAGAAAAATTAGGAACTTTTAAATAAAATAACGGAATTAACTGTACTTTTTACATTTAGATTAGATTTAGAAATTTAAGAAACGCTATTATATCGCTTTAAAGATTTTTACGTCAAGTCAAAAGCAATTGACAACTTAGAACTTATTTGACACATCGTAAATTCGTGTTGCCACATATGAAACCGTTCGGATACACGTAAAATATTTTTACTTAAAAAAAAATATTGGAAAAACAGACAAGTTAAATAAAATTGTTTAAGTTTATATTGAATACAGTGCTAATCATGATTTGAATTTTTTTTTCAATAGCCTTACCTTCATCTGGGTCCAAGTTGCCGGCCAACATTCTGATAAATGTAGTTTTTCCAGTCCCATTTTCTCCTAGTAATACTAAAATTTCAGAGTCCGAGAATTCACCAGGCATCACTTTAAGACCAAAGTCGCCCATTTTTTTAGACATCTCAGGATACTCGTAATGATTCATTCTTTTAATCTGTGACAAAATTTTGAGCACTTAGTATCTCTACCCAACAATATTTTTTTTTACTTTATTTACGAACATTTTTAATTTTATCTCTAGATTTTATAGAATAGTAGGAATATGATTTTTTTGTAAGAAAAATTGAATAATCTATGACTAACCTCCTCTTCAGTAGCGGATTCAGCAACTTTGAAGACTAAAGATTCAGTTCTGAATCTCATGTTTTCAGTGGGTACAAAACCATCAAGGAAAATGTTTATACCTGTAACAATAAAATAATAAATGATTATATTAATATTTTTGTAGTATGAATTAAATCTGAATTTTATTTTTACTTAGGACTTTTTTACGTTGTTTAAATAACGCATTTTTTAGTCATGTCAGATGTAATGCCGAGTCTATCGAGTGCTTGGTGGTGTTAGGGAAAGGGGAGGGAACTACACCATGCGGAAGGTCGCCCATATGATGGACTGACCAGATCAGAGCGGCTGTAATGTCCCCCTACAGTAATGTACAAAAAAGCCCGAGAATAGGTAGTTGTGTCGGCCTTGTGAAGAGGGTCATATCTGATGACCTCAACCAGTCTGAAAAGACAGTCATGAAGAAATAACGCAATATTACATACCTTCCCTAACCGAGAAGGGCATAGTCACAACACCATAAGCACCAGGTACACCGTATAAGCAGCATATAAAATCTGATAAGTAATCCAGAACAGACAAGTCGTGTTCCACTACAATAATGAATCTGCGAAAAGAAAAACAAAATTTGTAGAAATTAGTAGATTTTTATAATTTTAAAAATAGAACACTGGTTATTCATTTTTAAGTAGATCTATAGGTGAAAAACGTGAATAGTTTTACTTATAGTCCACTCTTTTTAACATAATAATTTAAAGAGAAATAAATTAGGATAGTAAAAAATATTCTTTTTTATACATACTTGTCTGGATGTATAAGGGAACGGATTGTGCGGGCAGCGTTAAGACGTTGCTTTACATCCAAATAGGAAGACGGCTCATCAAACATGAAGATATCACCGTTCTGAATGCACACCATCGCACAAGCAAAGCGCTGGAGCTCTCCACCAGATAATGCAGCAATTTCACGATCACGAATATGGGTTAAATCTAAAATAAAGATGTTATTTAAAACTAATACAACCCTATTTCATGTGATTGACAACTAATTTTCATTAGGATTAGCAAAGAAATATGTTATCTTTTAAAGTCTGAAAAATCAAATGATGCAGTAGACTTCTTTACAGTGCTTTAGGTGAAAACTTAAGTTGGAATAAGACAAAGATACCCCTAATTTAAATTAGGCTCCAAATCCCTCGAACAGGATGTATAGCTGATACAATGGAATTAAGACAGAATATGAAAGTATAGAGAATTAATCTCACCAAGCATTCTACAAATTTCTGCCTGATTGTTTCTATCGTCTTTTTTATTAAGCAATTGTCCCACAGTTCCTTTCACAGCCTTAGGAATCTGATCCACATATTGAGGCTTAATGAGAGCCTTCAAATCATCTTCAAGAATCTTGGTAAAGTAGTTCTGCAGCTCCGAGCCACGGAAATGAGACAGGATTTCCTGCCAATCTGGAGGATCCTAAAAATACAGATCATTAGATGCAGTTGGTCATTAACATGTATTAGACTGTACATATTTATTAACAAACTGTCGACCCCAACTCCCTCCTAGCGTAATTAAAAACAAACTTAATAAATAGCATATGTGTTCTTCCAGAATATGTTCTACATCTATGCCAAAATCACCAAGATCCATGCAGCCGTTCCACAGATACCTTCAAACAAACATCCATCCATCCATCTTAACATTCGCATTTATAATATTAATGAGATCGAATAACAGCAAGATACATATATACAAATGCATTTAAATAATTTTCCTATGCCAGTTAGGTAAAACAAACAAAACCATAAATTTACTAGGTCATAATTCAAAGTACATAAGCTCTCATATGTAATGAACTCAACCTGGGTAGACGATAATATGTTTTGTAATGAGCTTATTGCAATTATGTAAGATGATTTTGTAATACATAGACATAATTTTTGAATCTGTAAATCTATTTAGCGGTAATGCTTAGTAGTCTTTTATAAAGAAGCATAAATACATTTGTAATTATAGATAACTATCCTTTGTTTTAAAGCAATAATGAAGCCATTTAATGTTATTGATTTAAAAATTATAAAGCCAATTTTTAATTGATAAATAAAATAATAAACTTACTGCATATCTACCCAAGTTGGGTTTTTGTTTACCAGCAAGAATCTTCAAGGCAGTTGATTTGCCAATACCGTTTTGTCCTACTAACCCCAGTACTTCTCCTGGACGTGGGATTGGAAGGCGATGCAGTTTGAAAGAATTCTTAGAATACCGATGAGTGGTATGCTTCTCCAGATTGGATGGGACATTGATAATTGTAATTGCATCAAACGGACATTTCTGTAAGGTAAAGTATTATTAAACTTAGAAAAATATATTCACAAGTTTTGTGTTCACTACATATTTATGTAAATGTTTTGATGGTTTCTTGGACTTATTGTGGACATCTGAGGGTCAAACATGATACTTTAATTAATAAATAAGTGTACAAACTTTGAAAATATGTTAAAAAACATGTTTGCTAACTTACCTTGACACAAATACCACAACCGATGCAAAGTTCCTCGGATATTGTGGCTATCTTGTCATTGGGGGTTACTTCGATACAAAGCTTGCCCATACGCACCACCGGGCAGCTTTTCTTGCACTCCTGCCTACATCTTTTAGGCTTACAACGGTCCGCGTTCACTATTGCAATACGGGTGAGTTTATCAGTCTCCTCATGTTGTTTATTTCGAGACATAACTGTAAGAGATTAAATGCAACAATTTAACTTATTTTCTATAACATATGTGAAAAATTATGCAAACTTTCTTTCAATATGTGGCACAAAATTTAGTATAACCTCAACGATAATCAAATGGGAGTAATTGTTTATGGTTTTATGCAAGAATTTTTAAATGTAAATTAAAGCTACAAATATATATTTCATAGAAGTAAAATTTAGGAAGAAAAACTGGAAGTTTACCTATTAAAAGAAAGCGAACGAAGGCTAAATTCTGCCTACGTTCGCGTGTCCTTTTAGCTCGAAATGTCAAAAAGAACCAACGTGAGTATAGCAACAATCAAGTGATTTGGCAGACTGATATACTTTCGTTTAGAAATAACTTTCCCATACTGGTGCCTTTTGAAAGCAGAAATAAAAGATAAAGGCAGATACGTAATGAAAGAGCTTTTAATTTTCCACCTTAATTAGATGTGCAAGATCTCAAGAAAACAAGACAAAAAAGGACTTAATTTGTCTTGGTACCCTTTATTCCTTTGTCCCTGGTTCCGGCCCTTGTCATTTGACATTTGTTATCATTTCGTTATAAGTTTGTCATTTTGTCAAGTGTGTTTGTTTTCATTTCAAATTCAGCCAAATTCAGCAATAGATCTTAAAACTATTGTGATAAACAACATAAGCCTCGTATAATCCATTAAACCACGATAGAGTATACACATTTCTTTACAAGGCATTTTAAGGCTAAACAGTAAACTCTCATAATACCTACAATACTTTCCAAATCATGTTGGAAGTCTGTATTGATAGTTTGGAATCAGCTATAAATGCAGTTCACGGCGGAGCTGATGAGTTGGAAGTCTGCAGTTCATTACCAGAAGGTGGTTTGACACCATCCCCAGGACTTGTAAAGGAAATATTAAAAATGGTTAGTAATTATTGAATTCTGATACTGAACATATAGTTAATATTAAATTGTGATCAATTTAATTTTCTTCTCATATTTAGCTTATTATTTCAATGTTTGGTATAAAAGCCATTAACAAATAAAATTTAATTTGTTTCAGATGGATATTTCCTTTAATAAGCCAATTTATAAAAGTTGCACAGAATTTTGTTGCAAAAACATTAAGGTAATTGTAACATTTCTTTGTAATCAATTAATCTAAAAATTTCCAAGAATGAAATTCCAGTACATTTTGAAATAATTATAATTTTTTTTTGACTTTACAGAGACCTAAAATAAACATAATGATAAGATGTAGAGGAGGTTCAGACTTTTGTTATACATCAGAAGAAATAGATACAATGCTTTCAGATATTGAATATTATAAAACTTTAAATATAGATAGATTTGTCTTTGGTGCATTAAAGGCATTAGAGATTGATGAGGAATATTGTCAAAAAGTTATTAATGCAGCAAATCCAATACCTGTGACATTCCATAGAGCTTTTGATATATGTTTGAATCCTAATATTGCTATAGAAAAGATAATTAAGTTAGGTTTTACAAGATTATTAACAAGTGGTCAAGAAATATCCGCTGATGACCCTAAAGCTATTAATCTGTTACAAAAACTTTTATGTATAAATAAATGTAGGATAGAAATAATGCCAGGGGCTGGTGTAAATGCAGATAATGTGAAAGATTTCATTAAAATTGGTTGTAAAATTGTACATAGTTCATGTAAACGGTCTAAAGAAATAAATATTGGCAATAATTTGTCTATGGGCACAGCTACTACTCAATATATTTATTATACAGATAAAAATATTGTTAGAAGAACTAAAGAGGTTTTATGTAGAACTGTAAATGAGAATGCAAAGGATAGCTGAATTCAAGGCTTAAATATTATTCATTTTAATAAATAGGCAATAAGTAATATTGTATATATTTATTTTAATATAATAAATAAGTCAAATATATTTTTACAAGAGTAAATAAGAACTATTATTGAAATTTGGTTTATTTTCTTTCGTAATAAGTATGTTTATTGATTAACACGGTAGGACCTAAACGATAGTTTAAATAGCTATTATGATGCTTACAACGATTTTTCTATTTAACAAATTTTGAAGAAACTCGATGGAAAATGTAACCTACAGTTTAATGGTTAAAGATACGAATGATTCCTAGTGGTTGTAGGTACAAATCCATTCCAATCCAAAATTCATATCTAGTATCTACGAGCTTATGAAATGATCTCTTCCGCTAGCGAATATTTGGATGGATGGATGTTTGAAGGTATCCAGAATGGCTGCATGGAACTCCCTGAAAATGGCATAGATGTAGAACATAGTCTGGCACATTTTTTTATTCCACGCGAACGGTGTCGTGGTCGACAGTATGATCTATAAACTTTACTCACCAGTCAGGTAAATACTCGTAGAATTAGGTTTCTATCCATGTAATAAAATGTTTCGTTATGAATTGTGATCTCTCAAAGCAGCCTTTGTAAAATACTAGACAGCTCGACAAAAGGCTTTGTGAACCTCCCAGCGGCCGCTAGTCATGTTTTATTTCTTTTAGTCTTTATAACCTTTTCATTCCAGTTGGAATGGATAAAGGAATATTAAAGTCAAACTAAACTTTGATACTACTGGCACTGTATCTGTATTATACGTTATTATTTACATTGAATAAATTAAAAAGTATACTTTAATAGAGAAATATTTAGAAATATTTTTGCAGTGTGTAAGCAAAAGTAACTTTTCAATAAAAAAAATAATCCTGTCATACTCAAATTAACTCAAACAAAGCAGTGGACATAAAAAAATAATTATTAGAATTAATTTATAAACTTTACATTTTAGTATCACAGTAAATATGGAGAACTGATCGCCAACCTTCGTTAGTCGGAGAGGCACCTCAAGAAGAAACATAGTAAATGTGGGTTTCTGACATCAAAATCTCAGTATAAAACATAACGTCGTCCTTTCTCTCATCTTTGACAAAACAGAGATACCAATATGTTTTAAACTGGGATTCGTTTCAGAAACCCACGGTAAGACATTTTCATGAAAACTGAATTTATATACACGAAACAAATGACAGTTCGCGAGCATAAAGTAGGGAAGATTAATTCCATTACGATCTTTTAGTTTCAAGACGAGTATTCTAAAGACAAAATTAACATAAAAGTACTTTGAATGTCTTATTCTCGGCAGTGTATTTGTACGTTGTACGGCTATGGATCATTTATGCATTTTACGCGAACAAGCAACGCATATGCAATTGCGTATATCTATGGGCAACGGTCGCTTCGCTATTTCAGAGATTTCAATTAGCCGCACTCTCTTTTGCCAGCTTATGATTAAAAAAAAAACAAGAGAAAAGATGATAATTAATTTATTAAAATAATACTAATGTGTCAGAGTTAAAATGGTAACAAAAATCTTTAATATTTTTCATTTAAATGAAAGCCAAACATTACACAATGCCGGTTTTGTTTACGGCGCATAAATCCGAAAGGCTTTAGCATCTGTTGCGTTGTGAAACACTCCAAGTAAAATAGAAAAACAAAAGTAAAACAAGCCAGCATTTCAAAAAGTTTAACTTAAAAAAAAACAAAGAGAAACGATGATTAAATTTTTTCATTTTAATAATAGTAAATCTTTCTATTTAGAGAAGTTGCTACTAAAATACGATTAAAAATTTCCTTAATTAATTGATTATAAGACAAATATAATAGTAAGGGCAACAGTATTTTATCTAGTTTATTAGTTGTTTAAACTACACCTAAAAATACTAAAAAGTAATAATAATTCTTAAATATTGTTGCACAAAAAAAAAGTTTTTTTAGCAGAGCGTGGTTTCGATCCACGGACCTCTGGGTTATGGGCCCAGCACGCTTCCACTGCGCCACTCTGCTGTTGTGCTTCATTATTAAATTATTAGTTCACTATTTACAATTCATATTCAAATTATATTAATAATCCTAGTCTTAGCACCGAAACATTTGTACTATAGTATATTGTTATCCTTCTTTATATAAATTTTTCTTTTTTTTTCTAAATAAAATTTTCTAAATAATATGTTTTGTAAGTGTGCTCCGGCTGTAAAAACTCGTGATAAAAATATTTTTGCTGTGCTTGTGTAAAGAATTTAGCTCTTCTACGGTCAGCAACAAACGTCTAAAATCACGTAGCAACAGATTGCATCATGTTACTATTTTACTGCGTAATCTGTACCTGAATATAGTTTTAGTACATAAGTTTTAGTATTATATAATGTGATAAGCATGTAGACAAATATGTGTTATAGTTGATTTCTTCTTTTACTTCACAAGGCACAGTAATTTTTGAGCAACACAACAACAGCAGAGTGGCGCAGTGGAAGCGTGCTGGGCCCATAACCCAGAGGTCCGTGGATCGAAACCACGCTCTGCTAATGTATATTTTTTTACAAAGATAAAATACTTTTTTATTTTATTAAACAAAAACTTTTATTATTTTGTTGTTTAAACATGATTTTAGTTACTTTAAACGTCGTTAAGTCTAACCGAGGTAGAGATTAAAACTCAAAGTAAACCAACTTTTCTAAGCGTGGATTTCTGAGTTTAAACTGTCTTTGTAAACATCGTCATCCCTCTCATTATTTTTGACAAATAGATAAAAATATATTTTAAACGGGGATTTTGTTCTCAGAAACCGACGGTTAATCGTATTTGTATCAGAAACGATAGTAGTCAAACAAGGATAACTAAATCGGTGTGAGAGGCGCTGCTATCGCGGTTGGATCTGTCGGAATATATATAAAACCTATTTAGAAATGGAAAATGACATAAAAGAAATAAATATACGACAGCTGCAGTTCTAAGAGGATCTTGTGGTTTTTTTGTCGTTGACAGGGGGCGGTAGTGAGTTCCTATAATTTAATTTCCCTTATGCCCACCGGTTCAAATAGCCTTGTCGGTCTATAAATGTGTAATTTAAAAGCTATGTTTGTTTCATTTGAATTTCAATTAATTACTAAAATGATATGCAACATAATTTGTACAATCAACAATTACTTTGAAATTATTATTTTGATTCAGGTTTGTTCAAGAATGTAAGCTATGATATCCGGCTTTAGACAATGAAGGCCGCAATGCGACGCTAGGAAATGGTAGTTCCCTTGTTTGCTGTTTGTTCCCTTAATAACATTCCAGGCCACAGACAATCCTTGTCTTCCTAGTTTATTTGAAATTGCAAACATCAAGGTATTTTTACCCGAATCAAGGGTAATGTTTACCGCGCGTTTGTATATTTATTATAATATATTTATTGGACTTAACGACTACTTAGACGCGTTCGAATTAAAAAAAAAAACTATGTGTTCTTCCAGACTAAGTTAAACATCTAAACCAAATTTCATCGAGATCTGTTAAGCCGTTTTGGAGGTACCTTGTAACAAATATCCATTAAACTTTCGTATATATATTGTTAGTAAGATACCAAGAACGTTTCTGTCATATTTCTAAGACGAAAAACTGAAAACAAGTTTCTGACAGATATTATTTTGACCCACGTCAACACGACTGGCCTTAATCCTACTTTCTTTACCTTGTAAAAGTAATCGAGAATATAAAATGAATTACAGGTATTACGGTTAAAGCTAAGACTTGTTATATTTCCCTCATTTATTTCCTAAATATTAAAAGACAATACTTATGAATATCATATTATTTTTATCCTTGCTTAGTAAAAACATTTTTTTTCACCAAAAGAAATGTTTTAGCAGAGCGTGGTTTCGATCCACGGACCTCTGGGTTATGGGCCCAGCACGCTTCCACTGCGCCACTCTGCTGTTGTACACTAGAGGCAAAAGTAAAGTACATATTTCTACCATTTACCAAGAAGTCTTTATTCAACCAATCTTATTCTATAAATATAATTATTTTAGATCCAATTTTTGTTTCGTTTTTACAGATGGCCAGTCTCATTTTAGAGTAGAAGCAAATAAATATATATTTTATACCAACAGCGTAGGTAAAGCGGACATAAAACATGGCCGCGCACGCTGCTTCAGAGAGCTTGTTATCGGTGCGCTCCGTATTTTTGAAAAGAAACCTTTATCCGTTGAGTTTTCAAGTGTAAATTATGTTATGTAAAATTTTCTTAGCGATTTATTGGTGGAAAATTCAAGTATGAATATTCACTTTAAGATTCTATTGCCGTATTTTTCTCGAGCCGTGCTTTAATTCCTCAAATTCTCTTGTAAAAACAGAGATGACACAGCTATTAATTTGCACATTACTAATTTGATTTGGTAGATGAGAATATAATGTTTTTACACAAATATTTAAAACATCCGCCATCAGTCTTATGCCCGCTATACACATTGGTCGAGGTTTGCCGAATTAATACCAACATATAGATACATTCGCAATGCTTGCTATCGCTCGGCGTCATTCGTACAAATGTTTGTGCGCTCAAGCGAACACAAGCCACTCATTTGGCGTAGCTTGTCACAATTTGGCCAGCGTTCGCAACAGCTAGCCTCACTTCGGAGCGGCGTTGGTTTTTCACGAACACAAAGGTGCTTGAATGCGCTTGGAAAGCGTCTACGTGTTGGTCCGAGCGCCAGTAAATATTAATCACATGTCTACATTGGAGACTTGTATAGATTTGCCCAACGTATAGACTAGTACTTGTCTTGTATAAATTCGCAAGCGTTGGCCTCCACTCGGCAAGCCTCGGCCAACGTCCAACGTGTGTTGCCGGCATTAAATAAAGAAAAGTCGCAGTAAAGTCGACGCATATGATGATAAATGGCTTGCTATGATTCTTTCACGGAACTTGGCTTTAGACGTTTACTGGAAGCCATTAGTCAACATTGTTTCCATTAGTAAGCGATATTAAAAAGGAAACTTTTTTCCTTATACAAAT